TATTAATAGAGAAATATATTTAAAACACCCACATTATGTTTCCAGGCGGACTGCTCACGTTTTCAAAATCCGAGAGTACCACACCAGGACAAACTTGTATGCGAATTCTTTCTTTTTTTTTTTTTTTGTGTGTTAAAACCATTGCAGAGTGGAATATATCGACTTAAGACCAAGTGTGCTCTACAAATGAAGATATGTCTTTTTTCCAAAACTGTAACCTCCCTGCAATAATGCCTCCAGGCAATGTGGGGTAATGTTTGAACAAAAGAATAAACAAAAACTGGTGCCATCTGTGAGTACAAGCATCAACCAGAGGATTTGTTTCCACTTTTCTTCCTTTCCATAGGAATAACACATTTTTCTTTTCCTTTGATTTCCTTTTTCTATAAGCGTATGCTCACGAAGTTTGAGTGTGACCAATGCTCCCCCTAAAGAAAATGTGTTAAAAGTTTAATGGCACTCCATTCGTCGACTTATTTATTAGAGGTCTGTGAATATGAAATGTTTTTTCTTGCAAACCGAATGTATATAATATAATTTACCTGCAAATCGAATTTAAATGTTTTCAAATATGAATATTTTATGTTTAATGTTAATTGAGCTTGAATCTTGAAGAAATCACGACTGGAAATCTTTTCTAGGAGACTACTCATGAAAAGGAGCAACTTTATTGCTCGAAATCTATTTCACTTGTGTAGAGAAAAAAATTTAAAAAAATGCTTTGTGATAAGAGTTAGGTAAAACAGTGTAACATGGCAAGCAGAGCAATAACGACATTACTTATTCTAAACAACCGGAAAGAATAAGCTCAAATTCGGGACGAAAACAGACACATACAACTCTTTCAACTCTCAACGACATTTATTTCGGCTGCGTTCAAACGGCGGCCTTCGGGCAGGTTCAGGGGAGGGAGCGGAGAAGGAAATAAATGTCGTTGAGAGTTGAAAGAGTTGTATGCTTCTGTTTTCGTCCGAATTTCTGTTTATTCTTTCCGGTTGTTTAAGTATATTTACAAACGCGCTCGTTTTGAATGTTACTTATTCTAATGTAGCTCTAGGCCGTTTTTTTTTTTTTTTTTGCGCTGTTCTCAAAAATTATGTGTAATATTACAGCGAAAGAAGGCAGGTCTACAGTAGTGAGTCAAATTTCTGGGACCATTGAGCCGACTGAAGTGCTTAGGCATGTCGCTTTTTTCTCCTGTAGTCTGCTGCAAATTAAGGAGCAACACTGTTTCTAGAGATTTTGTTTATATACCTTGTGATCCAATTCAAAATGAAATTTACATAGCCTATGTGCCTTTACAATTTGACTAGACTATGTGCTTGGTTTTGATGTAGCCTAATTAGTTTTGTTAATATTAGAAGTGTCATTTGCAAAGATTATGGGAAGGATTAAGATAAATTGATATACTGAAGTCATAAAATAAACTATCATTAGACTGAAACCTCTGTGGAATCCAATAAGGCGTAAATGAAATCTCTAGAACGATTTATAGGTTTTATTATTACCCTTCAATTTTTCAGTTTCATCAGTAGTTATTGCAGGAAGCATAATAGGCATCTAAAGAAAACCTTATGTTATATTTAATATATTTATGATCCTTATTGCATACCTCACATACACCTACCAGGGAAAGAAAAAAAATGACAAGATTGGATGTGTGCATGTGGATGTGTGCATAAAATAGCGAAGTGTGTAAACAGTTAATTGTGAAATAACAGCAAAAAACATGTACAGACCCATTTTACTATGTTTCGAAGACTATATGTACATCAAGATAAAAGAGTCTTATATCACGAAAATACTTTAGAACAAGACGATAAGTGCTGGTCACTCTTGAAAGACAATTTCAAAAATGTGTATTTTTAGTATTTTCTGCCTCAAATAACAATGTCTGTCCTTTAAGAAAAAAATCAATCAAATGTTTTTTTTTTCTTCTCTTTCAAAGCCCTCTCCTTGCCATGATTGGTGGTTTCCTCCTCTCCACTCTCCTCCTCTCCACTATTTGCTCTTCTCATGGGGAAAGAATGGAGGACTTAGTGGGAGGAGCTGTTCCTGCTTTCCTTAACCTGCAACAAAGTATGGCGCACTGCTATGAAGATAGGGCTGCCACCTGCCTGGTTTTCTTGGATACCAGGCCAGTGCCAGCTTGCGTCTAAAACCTGCCGTCATTTGCCGTTTTTTTTAACTATCCAACCACATATTGATTTTTTTTTTTGGGGGGGGGGGGGGGGGGGGGGGGGGCGGGGCGGGGGGGGCGGGGGCGCGGGGGGGGCGGGGGGGGGGGGGGGTTGGGGGCGGGGCGGGTGGAGGAGGGGGTAGGGGTGTTATAAATATGTTTCACTCTGTCAATGCAAAACTAGCAAAAAAAGTGAGCATCAATGGATTTTCTGTATACAAAATACACACAAATCTGTTGTGGACTCCCAAGTAGAGAAGGCACGTGAGCAAGCTTGCGTGAGAAACGACTGCATCTTAAAATCTAAAGGGGCGTCCAAAAAGCCCTGTCCTCACAATAGAGGTCTGTGCCATCACGGGGGGGTGGGTTTAACAATTCTCCGTATCTTGACAGACACTTGCCGTTCTATCCCATCCATGGAGGCGGGCGGTCACCGCATTTCCATTTTCTTCCCACTTCTCTGCTTGTTTCCTTTTCAGTCACATACATCCATATGTTGAAAATGTATTTGCCTCATTGGTTTCAAACTCTGTCGATTTTATTTTATTTAGCACTTTTTTTGAGGCCTTTGCCCAAACACTAGGATATGCTGAAACATGCGCTGTCTGTGTCTCTGGAAAAGGCTGAAGTCTAGCAAAATTGTAGCCTGCGTGTGTTAGGAGCAGTGCACAATAGAAACATTGCCGAGTGCTTGAGTGCTTACTCATCCCTGCCGCACAGAATGAGTAGAGGTGTGGGATGTGATTTTGGCACTTCTAACTAAATGGTATCTATGCATGCTATTGAGTTCAATGTTGTGCATTTGTGTACTCACATGCGCTATTGTATTATATCTATATCTACTCTTTTAACTGATTTCACTTTGGGAAGCTTGCGATAAAATAAATTTAATTTGTATAATATGGACTGTCAACATTCTTTTCCAGTTCAATCTCACATATAGTGGAATATTGGTATAACGAATATCGCTGGGCTGCCAATTGTAATATGTTATTTTGAAATATCGTAATAATGAAAAACTTGCATTTTTACCTTTTTTTGCGATAAGGGCATCAGCGAATGTATCCATGCTGACTGCCAGACAAAACACAGCACGCAAATGCCCACTGTACATTTATTTGAAGAAATCTGTCATCTTCTTTCAGCGGGTGCAAGACTAGTGCTGCTGCACAAACGATTCAATACCTAAGTATTAAAACCTTGAGACAAGGAAACAAAAAGGGGACAACACACCATCGTCTTCAGCTCGCCTGCGTTTTGACTATTATTTCAGTTTCGATACCGTTAGTGACCCAATTCTATGATCTTTTTGCGATCTTTCAGTATTGTTGCAACAGTCGGCGGGACGATGCCACATTCTTGGGAAACCTCTACTTGTTTCTTGCCTCCATCTGCTTCGCGAAGAATGTCAACCTTATCTTGTAGCGAAAATTGCTTCCGCTTCTTCTTGCCACACGTTTTTACGTGCGGCAAGAAATTGCGGGTTCACTTCGCGACACAAGGAAAGAAAACAGCAGCAACACGGTGATACAATGGACACAGCGATCTGAAAATAACCTTAGCCGGGTATACGCTGCATAGTCAAACAGGATGGATGAATACCCAGTGTCTAATGATGATGATAGTCGTCAGTTGGAGGCGCCCATACCACGAAATGACCGAATTTCGCACTATCAATTCGTAATAGTGAGGTGTTGCTCATACATGAGAGCGCATAAATTACATACATTATTATGAAATCTTCGTTATTTTGAATTTTATGGTATTGAATTATTTCTACATTGCTAGTATAGGCATTTGTAAAAACAATTTCGAAACTTTCATAATTTAGAAAAATTTGTTAAATTGGCGTTTGTTGTAACGAGATTTCAGTGTAATAATGAAATGACCAAGGGCATGACCAGTTTTCCTTTCGAGGGAAGGTGGCAACCACATATGAAGAAGTTAAGTATAATGTGAAAGATCTGAGAATGGAATTGAAGTTTATTTGAATTTTCAAGGGACAATCTTTGGCACATTCATTCATACTAAATAGACAACTTCTCTAGAAACAATAAAAGTGTTAAAACATAAAGGTATTCATAATTTTGTAGTATTTTAATGGCTCTGATACTTCTTCAAAGAGCAAAAGAGTGCTGAATCTAATGGTATAGTGAACACTGTGCAGAACTTATTCAATGTATGGAATATCCGTGCACCTCCTTTATTTATATATACTGGCATAGGACATGTGCATTTTTTCCCTGTTCAGTATTTTTGTGTATATAGTGTTAGAACGTTTCATGTGCTTTTTTCTTTCTGCATTGTAATAGACCACCGGAAGTGTGTGTTGCTATTGGCATGCATCACCAGTAAATTATCAAAAATTTCCCGTCCCGTGCCGTGTCCTGCAAATGAAAACTGTGACAGTTAAGATGCTACACACTGCTGCACAGCTACACTCCCGTTTAAATTTAGTGGACTTGCTTCCCGCTAATTTTAGCTGACAGGGATCATGTGGCACTGCGACGTCACGTGACACTAAATTCTCGCTTAGTTTAGCAGAAAAATTTCTCCGCTAGATTTAGTGGGAAAAGTGCGACTCTATGTTGACCATGTCACAATGTCACAACACTTTGATCCCCCAAAAATGTATTAAATTTTACTGCTACATTAGTGGGCCATGAGATACACAAAAATTACATGGGATCCACTGGCAAAACCTTGCCAAAACAACATTTTTGAACGGACAAATACTTTCTTTTATATGGTGGGATAATACTTGTAAAACCTCTGTAGAAACAGAGCTTTGGCAAAGATGCGCAGGCCCTCTGTTATTCTGCAGGACCCCCCTCGTGAGGAGCGGCTGTCGCAGGGACGGCCATGGGGGACAAGCAGACGGAACTGGCCCTCCGGCGGCTGGACGAGGGTCAGGGGCTGCTCCCGCAGCCGGGGGAAGGGGAGGCCGTGGCCACTCTCCCGCTCTCGCTGGGAGAGCGCCCAGAGAGCCTCGAGGCCCTCAGCCTGGGCCTGAAAGGGAGCCCCAAGGACAGCTACAACCTCCTGTACTTGATCCTGGTGCTCCACGGAGTCGGGACCCTTATGCCCTGGAACATGTTCATCAATGCCAAGTCGGTGAGGGCAGCTGTCGTTGCGCTTGTCTGGATGGGACTAAAACAGCTGGTTCACTCTGTTTCACAAATGGGACTGAAGGGCAGGTTTGCTCTCTTTTCCTAAAGATAGTGAAGGGCAGGTTTGCTTTTTTTCCCTATAGCGAGTCAAATGATGGGTTTGCTTTCTTTCCTGCAAGTGAGTGAAAACATAGGTTTACTATCTTCCCCAATTGAGAATGAAGGGCAGATTCATTCTCTCCTTTAAAGGGCCCCTGAAAAGAAACTCCTTTGCAGTAACTCTTCTTTGCAGGCGGGAGTGGGGGACAGGTTTACTCTTCTCGGTAAAGTAGTGAAATGGTAGGTTTACTCTTTTCCATAATGGTAGTGAAGGGTAGATCTGAAGTTAAAGCAAGGGTGCAGGCGAGCTGGTTGGAGATCTGTGTCGTGTTTGTCCTCCTTGTCTTCATTCTCCAGGGTTAAAATTGTGGGTAGATCTGTTCCATTTTTCTAAAAGGTGTAAAACAGTAGGATTACTCTTTCTCCAAAAGGGAGTGACAGGCAAACTCGCTCTCTCGCAAAACTCCCAAGTTTCTGGAGACTTCATGGCCTCTGCATTTTTTCCCCAGTACTTCACAGACTACAAGCTGGCTGTGAACATCAGCAGCAATGTCAGCTATGAGGACGACGAAGATAGCCTAGAGCTGAAGGAATACAGCATCAACTTCCTGGGCTACATCACGCTGGCCTCTCAGCTGCCCAACTTGCTCTGCAACTTCCTCAACCTCTTCCTGCAGTTCGGGTGAGCGCCACTGGCTTCTGGGGCAGGTGTAGAGCTGTGGATGATGTGTTAGGGGGGGTGATAATTGTTGAAAGTATCATTGAAGTTTTAGTATAGGCCAGAATCTCTTGCGAGCCCAGTCCAACTTCACGCCTGCTTGGGCATGAAATACGTTGCAGTATTGCAGGGAGGGGCAGCGAAGCACAACCAAGAAAAGAAAAAGATGTTTTTCGGGCAGAAGTGCGTTCAAACAGAAGCGAACTCGGAGTTCGTCCTGTCTGTGGCATGCACCGCGGGTTACTTAACATCATGTTATTGCACGACCCATGGTGTCACATCACCCATGGCATTTTGTAACACTGCCACGTTACAAGACATCACAGACACCGCAGCTGGACACCGTGGTCACTTCCCAAGACGCCAGGTGACGTGACACTGTGACGCGACGCGATGCAACACTGCCACGTAACATGACCTCATGTTACACCATGGCTTGATGCTGTGGCCGTCTTTGAGGTCGTCCTAGACGTCGTCCTTGATTTCGTCCTAGACATTCTCCCCGAGGTCATCCTAGGGATCGTCCTCGAGGTCGTTCTAGAAGTTGTCCTTGAGGTTGTCCTAGACGTCGTCCGTGAGGTCGTCAAAGATAACAGCTTCGCTGACCCTCCATCTTCACGTGAAGTGGAGGGGTCTACATCTTTTTATTTATTTCTAACATACTGCCAGCCGCAAAGCCAGAGCAGGTCGGTTGATACTATGTTAAAAGCAAATCCACTCAAAGCATTCAAAATATTATCAAGAAAGCACACTCTATCACTCTATTGTGCTATTCAGAACATTTGTGAATAGGCAGCTCTATTCATTGACACATTCAATAAAAATAGTTCCTAAAAGTGTCAATTTTAAAGCGATGAGTCATAATGAATTTGTTGCTTTCTAATCTTGTTGCATTATTCACAGTTTGCATACATAACGTTTTTGTGAATATCGAAAAGCAAAGATCCTGTAGCGAGTTCATATCCGACTCTGCATTGTCTTGGTACTTACAGGCAGAAAGTTTGCATCGGACTTCAGTACGGAGACAATCTGAGATAGATGGCGATTGAATGTGAATCTTCAATTCCGCTTTCTTTCAGGCAACGGAGTCTCACCCCACGGATTGTCATAAGCATTCTCGTAGAGGTGACCATCTTCATAGCTACCGTTGTCCTTGCGATGGTGGACTCGACGCACTGTGAGTTTTATTTTGTCGCGTTTCCTATATTTACCATGGCATAAGATGCACATAGGTAAGGACTCTCCGCATGGCAAATGTTACGACGCGATCGACCAGATAAAGTCCTTTTAACGCATGCTTGAGTAGTCTTATACTTTGTGTCACTAGTTGCGTGCAGTACAGGTGAAGGTAGCGCCAGGCAAGGTGAGAAAGCGCAAGCACTATAAAGGCTGGGAACGAGAATAGAAACCTCCTCTCCTTTCTAACATTCCTAGAGCTCCCCCTTTCTCCCCTCCCTCCATTGCCCTCCTCTCCCATCCCGCGTTCCTAGCGCTTGCCCTTTCTCTCTTTGCCTGGCGTTGCCTTTGCCTGCACTGCACACAACTAGTGAAATGGAGTATAGTCGATAGCGTCTCCGGTGTCCAAGCAATGCAATAAAAAAAAAGAAAAAAAAAAAAGAAACAAACAAGGCCCAAAAATGTCTCTCATTCCCAAGGCACCCAAGCGCGCGCTGTTCCCACTTGGAGTGTCTGCTCTGACCTTGACGGACACTGGCTTGAACACCGCGCCGTAGCTTTCTCTGCTTCACTGCGTTCATATAACTGTTATTGCCGCCGTTGAGGCACGAAACTAGGGTCAATGACGAAGCAGTGTCTAAGCAAACCGCGTAACACAAGCTCGAAGTTCTACATGACATGGCACACCTAGAAAACTACCTTAAAGACTGGCCTGTCTCCCGTAAAGAAGCATGGGAAACCAGACCCGCAACAGGTTTTACCATTAGCCACATATCGAGGAGCTATCTGGTGGTGCCGCTTGCAACCAAGGCGAGGAGAGGACTTTACCTGGCACCTGCGACGCGCCTGGTGTCGACCTCCTATTTTTTCCTTTTCGTTTGGCGGCATACTCGGTGACGCCTTCTATCCGCTAGCCCCGGCACACCTCTGGTCCGGGTATATTTTTCTCATTTTTATGGGTCATCCTTTCACCGTAAGAGTGAATTGTGTGTAAGAGTGGCGTAAGGAACCACTCTCCAAAAATAGTGCGTAGGTTTAATCTCGCAATTAGTGCGAAACCTGCCGTCTAGTTGGAACTGGAAGCGTCTGAGGGCCATTTGCACACTGGCGCCACCATGCTTCAACTTGCACGAGAACGAGTGAAAAGAATGAATGAATGAATATGTATCTTGCACCGTGATATTCACTGACATGGTGAAGAACGGCAGAGAGGAGCTTCAGTTGTCCCGCCCCCAGTGCCAGCTTCTTATCTTTGACAATGCTTCGGCGTCTTGTGCACCTTGAGTGCATGCGTGCAGCCAAAGCATGGTGGAAGGCATGGGGCACGTGCAGGGTATATTCGAAAGATGCACCACGCCATTCTCACTCTGTTGGTAACTACAAATTATTTGTTTGGTTTCTCATTGTCATTTTGCCAATAGTTTTCGAAGGCTATCTGTCATAGCAGGTTGTTGTGCAGTATTGACAAACTTGGCACACTGTTCAGAACATTCTGCTACAGTTACTTGAACACCATTCTCAGTAACACTTTGCACACTGTTTAGAACATTCTGCTACAGTTACTTGAACACCATTCTCAGTAACACAGATATCATTAGAATGTATGGTACCATTCCACCGATGTCGGCAAGACAAACTGTAGTTTTCATTGTTGACAAGTTTATTTTACCGAGATCAAGGCTGCAGGTACCCACATCGTTAGCTCTTGCCTTGACGAAATTAGGTTTGGGTGGACGTCGGCTCATAAAGAAATTTTGTTTCCCTTTAAACTTCTGATCCAGGTAATGTCACATACTCAAACTTTCATGTTCTATCGCCATCGTGAGCGTCGCATTCTTATGGAGTTTCAGCCTTTGCGCAATTTGTAGCTTATTCATGTGGGCCGAAAACCCGGGTTTCGTTTTCTTTTGAACCCGGTAGTACTATACTTAAAGGCGGACGAGGAATATTGGATCGTTAATTACTCCATCTATTTTGCAGGGCCAATCACCTTCTTCTACCTCACCATGGGACTAGTGGTGGTGTTGAACAGTGAGTCACTGATTCCGTTCCAGCTTCTCTTTTGGGGGTGAATATAGAGAGCCATAAAAGGGGGCCTCCTGAGCTTATTGATCATCATGTCGTTTAAGACCTGAGGCTGTGGTGCAGAAAAGTGAAAACTTTTAGTTGAAGGAACAGACACGGGAGGGAACGCCTCAAACTCAGCTCCGTGGAGTTTGAGACATTCCCTTAATCTGTGTCTGTTCCTTCGACTTCTGTGTCTGTTCCTTCTGCACTACAGTCTCGGATGTTGAACGACACGATTAGCTACCACCAGCTTACCTGCACACTCAGTCTTTTCACTTATTGGTCATGCAGTGTTGATGTGAAACGCGCTTTTTGCCGGAGTTCATCGTTTGACCGCGGTGCTTAGGATGATTTTCTATTGTTCAACATACAGGGAGCAGATGACTGGTAGCATTGTTCATCTGTGTTTGCTAAAATGCACTGTCAACAATTGGAAAGAGGGTGCTTGTAATTTGTTTAGAAATTGTAGGTTTCAGATCAAGACAACTTTAGAGCTCTCCCCAAAGAATCCCGGCATGAACTACAGTATTAGTTTCTAGCTTTTTAATTTCTATAGAAATGCTCGACAGCCGCTTCACTTTACTCAAGTGTGCCGTGTCTTACCAAGCTATGTACTATACCTAGGGTTCCGGGTTTTCAAATAAATCCGATAAAAACTGAAAAGCACTCGCCAGTAAAATTTTCTTGTATTCAGATTTATTAGAAAAACTCCGAATTCGGAAATCACAATGGCCAAAAAGAAACAAAAAAATTGGCTGCGAAATTGACTATTGCTGGTCGTCTATGAATTGCAATAGCATTTGTCATGTTTACCTCCTTCTTTTGCTACGAGGCCTTGGGCAACCTTTAGGACGACGTCCTAGAGGCTAAGAACAATGTCTCGAACGACCTCGAGGATCTCTAATGTAGATTTGTCGTATGCTGTAGTGAGGGAATGCTAATGCAGTGGAGCACACTCAAATGCATGTGTGTGAACCAACCTTTAGGCTCCCCGCTGCATTGGCTTCATGCTTCTGAAAAAATTAGTTTCTTCGTGATTTGTTACTGTGCATGATGGTGGGAACCGTTTGTTCTCGGCAGTGGCATCTGGTGTTTACCAGAACAGCATCTTCGGCGTGGCAGCGCCCTTGCCTGGGAAGTACTCCAATGCCGTTGTTTTAGGCTCGGTGAGTGCATTCGACACTTTGGGTACAATCCTAAAAAGCTAAAAATACTGAAAAAAGAAAAAAAGAAAAACTTTCAGCCTTTCCACTCTCGTGAAAAAGGAAGACCAGCGAAGCTGTACTATGGTGGAAATGAAGTATTTATAAATGTAAGGATTAAGTTGTGATTGGGTAATTGGTTATGTGACAACCGTACTGTCCCCAGTTGTCTTTGTCATACCACGTCAACCGCCGAAGGCTCATGAACCAGAGTCGAGGCCCCACTAGTCGTTCCTCCACCACATCCTACCTCGGAAGGTGCTCCGGTACGGGTGGGTACTTGTAGCCGTTCACGGTCGCGAACCGGGGCACCGCGCCTTTGAGCAGGGAATATCGGCACGTTCTGCACGCCGGTTCTTTGTAGACGTCCGCCGGCTCAGTATACTGCCGCAAAGCGCACGCGCCCGTTTCCTGATTCTCTCGTCCGACACGCCGCCGATTGTGGATTAGTCTCCGACGAACCAGAGTAAGCCGCACCGGCGCATGTTACGCCAAACGGGTTCTCCACGAACTCCCTCCGGAACCTCGCCGTCGCACCCGGGAACTGTTTAGCCAGCGTGGAGTGCTGTCGTCGCCGGGCCTCGTGCTTGCGCTTGGCCCCGTAGCCCGCCGGCATCGTTTACATCGCTGGTTCTGTTCTCGGCGGCGGCTTTCCAGGCGAGCGATGCGCTCTTCTTTTGCAAGGGAGTCTGAAGCGATGGATGCAGTGGAAGTTGAGGCGACAGCGGCCTCACATTGGTTGCAGACCCATTCGCGCTGTTGCGTACGTCGCCGCTCTTTTTGCACCCAGTGTTCTTTCCCCGAAAGGGCACGCGCACAGCCCATCTGAGTCTAAACTGAAACTGGTAAGAGCGTAAGAAACAGCGCGCAAAACAGACGAGGACGAAGAAACACGTGACGAGCGCTGCGCTCGTCACGCATGTTTCTTCTTTGTCCTCGTCTGTTTTGCGCGCTGTTTCCTACGATGAATTCCCACCAAATGCGCCCAACTATTTATTCTTCTATGATAGCTGGAAAGGTTGCCACCACTTACGAGCGACGGCGGCAAACCGACTGGTTGTGTGCTTGCCGCCGTCGCTTATAGATGGCGGTAGCTGTCCAGAGGTTCGTGGAGGTTTGTGTCGACAAGATTTTGGTACCGGACACGATCCTTGGGAACCTAGGCCTTACCAGCTCCACTGTAACAATATATGAAGATATGTCCTTTGTGTATTTTAGGAATGTTACAAAATTGAGTGGCATGCGCTTAATGTCAAATGGGTTGGTACTTAACGGTATATGTATTTACTCATATAATGAATGCACTCGCAAAGTGAATGTACCTTGCCACAACGGGTACCAATATTTTTACTTTTTTTTTTTCGCTCACGTAATTAACGCATTTCCAGTTTTCGGCTCTTCGCGAGTCTCGAATTATGTCCAACTTAGCTAGCCACCAAGCCCACCAAGCCAATTTTCTTTTGCCGCCAAGCAGTCGGGCCAAGTCAAGCCAAGCCAAGCCACTCTCGTAAATGCTGCAGGTGTCTTCTTGTGGAACTGATCAACCGTGAAACCGAGTGGTGCGCACACTTGACAAAGCTTGGGTCGAGGAATCGGCCAGCCCCGGACATTCCTTGCCTGTCGTATGCATTGATATCAACAAACATGCCGTCGTCTGTGTTTTGCTTTCGGACAGTGAAATCATGAAAGTGGTTAGGCCTAAGAACGGTCACATTACTCTTGTGCTGAGTGAGCTTCGTAGGGCGCTTTTCCTTTGGCAAAATGCACGCCGAAAGCGCTTTAAAAAGGTTCTCAATTTATAAAACGTGGTTATTGTGCCGTCCCCCTACCGGCCGTGGGTGCACCTCCATCATTGGAGACGTGCCACAGTACCTTGCCGTGTCATATTGGCACCTAATGTGACATTTTCTGAAAGTGTGTAAATGCAACAATTTCACCCCGCATAATGAACACACCCCTCCAATATGTGTGGATTTTTCGGGAAAAAAAGTGTGTTCATTATGCTACTAAATACGGTATTTTAAATATTACTCTCTGAAAGTGTATATTGAACAGTTCCATTGATTCATATTTGCATTTCCAGGCTGTGTATAAGCGCTTTCTGAAACAATTTTCCTGTTTGCTCAGAATTCATCTTTTTGTTGTAACGGAAAGCCTTGTCCGCAATATCTCCAGATCTAGGCCTTGGATCTACGTGAATGTTTGTTTTTACATTTGGTGTTTCGTTAATCTAAGAGTTTTGCAAGACTGGGGTTTTTAAAGAATATGTACAAAATATTTTTTGTTTATGGCAACTGTAATAACTAATTGTTAATTATTAATTAAAGAATTTCAACGTGCAATACTTTTCTTAAGAATGTGCTAAAATTACAAGAATGGTTTTGTCACAGTCCATAATTCGTAGGATATGTTGCCACATATTTTCGTCATAGTTTGTGATAGGAATTGTGTAAACAGATGTTGGGCGGAAAAGGTTGCCACAAAGTTGTAGTTCACATAAAAAACTATAATACAAAGTTTGATTAAAACAAATTTCGAGGGCACCTAAGCACTTCTTATGAGTTGTGAATTTGGAAGCTTAAATGTCGTTATTCCGCTCCCTTAGCTCGTCTGCGGCGTACTAGCGTGGACGGCCACGTTTCGCTACTGCCGAGGTAGCGGCCGACGGCCAAGCGCGCGCTCTTGTGAAATGGCTGCGCCGTGCTGAGCTCGGTCGCGCAGCCTTTCTGCGGTTTGTCCGTGCAGGCTCTGCTCTCTCTTACACTCTAAAAAAAGTCTGTGCGTCTACACAACACCCGATTAGCCAATCACCGCAACTAACGGAGGCAGCTCAGCAAATGACGATGCCCAAACATATGTTTAGACCAAAAGATGCAGTCTGAGTTGTGACATTAAGCAAGCGTGATGTTTTGCATTACTTAATGTCACAACGCAGACTGCGTTTTTTGGTGTAAACATATGTTTTGGCATCGTCATTCGCTGAGCTGCCTCCGTAAGTTACGGTGATTGGCTAATCGAGTGTGTGTAGACGCACAGACTTTTTTTAGAGTGTACCAGCGGCCAGGCCGCTGCGTGCGCTGCGCCGCCATGGAGAGGGCTTCTCTGGTGGCGTTCTTTGGAAGTATGCTGCGCGAGAGCCAATGGGAACCTATCCATCAGATTTCTGCTACAGACGACAGGCTTCACTTCATTGGGACAGGGGAACGGGCCGTATGGTGCGGCTTCAAAACTTGATGACGTAGGTTCGCTCTATGGGACAGTTAATGCTTTCACATTAAAATATTGGAGCCATTTTTTTTGTCCACATAAATAAACTATAGTCGCCGACAGATTTTTCTAACTTCGCTGGGATCGAAAAATTGTCCGAATAATAGAGCAGTTTGGAAAAAAAAAGCAGGTAAAAAAATCTTGCCTTTATTACGTTAAGCGGGCTTAAAAAATCCACCAGTAGTGCCTTGCTTCAGGTTACGCCTCCGCTTGCATTCGGCCATTTTCCTTTAGCTTGATAATGACTGTTTTTTTTTTTTAGCGCTATGGTCGAGTAGTTTCTGCGCTTCTTATGCGACTCTTCACAAGGGCGGGAAAACGGATGGGGTCACAACGTCCAAGCCAGCGTAATCCAAAAACACGATTCACCAAGACGAGATGAGAGGTGCAAGTCCATGACTGCAGAATGGCGAATTAACAAACCAAAAGGGTACCAATGATGATAATGAAGCGCAGCTAGAGAGAAATCCGTAGCATAGCGTCACCTAGCAGTAAGGCTTAGCAGTTCTCGAGTAGCGCTGCCAAACCAAGCCAGACCGTGTGCAGTCTACATAAAATCTAAAATGGCGGCTTTTCGGCAATGTTACCCACTGATCGCTTACAACGATTTTGTTAAAAAAATCAAACTTTCAGACTTTAAGCTGTCCGAAACATCAATCGTGAATATGCACTATTTCTATCTCGTAGGTCACGGTTCCTCCTTTAGGTCCGAAATATTGAACAAGCCCGAAATATTGGCGTCTGAAAAATTGGTTGGCGACTGTATGCATTGCAGAATGCTTAGACTTTGTGTGAATCTGAGGCTAGCTCTGATGATAGAATGCAAAAGTTTGAAAACAGGACATCGCCAATATAAAAAAAAAATTTCCTGTGAGGCGACACTGCGTAAGCCCAATTCTCGTCAAACCAAAAAAATGGCAGTGCAGGTGCTTGTGACATTTATTTTGAGTAAAACATGCAACATATTTTGTGCTGGTAAGGGCACTATTCTGCCTTTGCCAGAATAGTGAATGAAAGGGGCAAACTTTTTTATCTTAACAGCTACTGGCTTAGCAGTAACAAAAGCTAGCGCCATCTACGAGTCGCGATATCAAGCATGTTTGCCGCCAACAGAGTACACTGACCTTATATTAGTATGCAAGAGACTGCCTTTTTAATTATTGCTTCAAGTGACATGCTACGCTGAAACTGAGAACTCCACTGGTGGGCTACACTCCAATAGTGTTCCAGAATTCTACGACTCGCATTCATGAATGCATTGCGAAGAAAATCCTGGATGCTTTTTTGGGCACGCCCAGCACTGTAGTTGGCACGGTATACCCAAACTTGTAGGACGCTCATTACAAGCAATCAGATTACATATAATTGACTACTCTTAGGAGTAATCTTGTAATAATTTGATTACAGTTATTATCACAGCAGTAATTGGACTACTTTTGTAAGTAAAATTACTCTTAACCATAATTTTTTTTTCCCTCAGGTTTCTGATAACGTCCCTTGTTTGTACAGTAGGCTCGCGATAATTCAAACTCGGATATTTCGTACTTCCGGTTAATTCAAACAGATCTGAAAATTTTGGTTGTCCCGCTATGTTTTTAATGTATTTATAAGCCACTTAATTCGAACGGCGTTTTCGCTTAATTCATACTTTTTTGTTCTCTCGGCCCCGTTAAGTGCGCTTCTTTCCGAGCACTGGTGCACCGCAGAGAAGCAATACCCGCGGAGCTTGTTTTCGCGAGGTTGCTTCTCCGCAGTGCACCGGTGCTCGGAAAGAAGCGCACTCAACAGGGCTCAAGCAGGCACACATTAGCGAAAAACGGCATTCACAATATGTGCTTCAGGACTGGCAATGATGATTAAGACAACATCGAGGATGAGGAACAGCTCACTGGCATCATGCTTTCTGGCCTTGAAGCACATAATGTGAACGCCGAGCTGGCGGAATATGCTAGTCTTGACGACAATGTGTGTGTTTGTCGTGATGATTCATTAGAGGACATAAGGAAGTAATGCCAGCACAGTGCAGCAGTGAGAGTGAAGATGATGATGCAGTAAGGGATGACCCACTACCAACTGTCACAGCCGCAGAGGCCTTTGAGCACATCGCTCAGCTCCGGAAGTTTCTGCTGCAAAGGAAGAGTCCCGTAAAGAGCTTTTTGCTTTGGCTGGTATTGAAAATTTTGTTTTGAGATCTCGTGTACTGACTAAAAAGTCCACAATCGACAACTTTTTTGCTGGATGAATAAAGTTAACGTCACAGTTCTTTCACCAATGTGTTATGCCTGTACTTGCTTATAATTAGGCCTATGTAGAGGAAACTGGCAAAAATTTGCTTTGTATGTGTAACAAATCATAATGTTGTCTAGTATCATATTTAGATGAATTTCTGATAATTCAAACTTCTGGTAATTCAAACTAAAATCTGTGACTTCCTGGAGTTTGAATTAATGAGAGTCTGCTGTACAAGTTTCCTACCGAGAAATCTTCGAACCCAATCTTTAACAGGAGGGGGGTTTACCAAAATTGGTGGACTACGAAGACAGGTCGTTCAAAATTTGGTGTTTTAAGCCAATAATGGATACGAAAGACACGTTTTCAAACCGACAGAAAACTTTGTCGTTTTGAAAATCTGAGGTAATCATCATCATCATCATCATCCTTTATTTTCCTCGAGGGCCCGTGGGGCATTATACAAGGGGCTAGTAATAAAACAAAAAGTACAACAGTAAACAAAAATATATCGCTGTAAGCTAGTCAGCTAGGTTAGATAGAGGGCAACAGATTCAACAAATTTAGTAGTATCATTTATAGAAACAATGTTGCGAGGTAGTGAGTTCCAATCCTCGATAGCCAATGGTAGTGTGGAAGTCTGGTGAGAAACAGTTGATGGTCGAACTGGGCATAATTTTTGTGGCTGGTCTAAACGAGGGAATATGTGATGGGGAGGTGATAGTAACGATTCTCTGAGGCGGGTATTGCAATAAAATATTCCACGAAGGAGAGCAGCGAAGGGGAAGTGAATGAAGGTTAGATTGATGATTGGCGTAATCCTGATATGCTGGTATATGTTGAGTAGTTATTATAAATAAAATGAAGGGCTCTTCTTTGAATGGATTCTAGATGATTTGTGAGGTATGAATGCCAGGGAGACTATATAGATGGAGGCATATTGTAACTTGGATCTTATAAGGGTACTAGACGCTAGTGGCTTTACGGAGGGTGTAGCAAGTTAGAGGTTTTAGTGCAAACATCCGAGAGTATGATATGGACGGTGCCAGTCTGTTCTCTCATTGTGAGTGATCACACGCGGCTGCAAGGCAGTCGGTCACACTCGAAACGCAAATGTGTCAACCATGCCTTCAGTGCAGTGCCTGTGGATGCTTACACTTGCTTTTGTTTCTTTGCATCCTAGAATATCAGCGGCACGCTGACGTCCCTGTTGAACATCTTCTCCATTGCGGGTGAGCATTGCTTGTTTGTGACTGACAGAGGAATTTCACCTCAGTGTTGGCCAAAGTTACGTACTATACACTAAAACCCGTTGGCAAGCTTCCTAGAATGCCTGGGGCCTTTTCTGGGCGCATCCGCTAGGTGGTGCTTGCTACGCTGTTGGCCCAGCTCGTACAGAAAAAAGGCGATGGAACCAATGTAACGTTAGACGCACGTTGACTGTGGTGAGAAGCGATTCTGTACAGTACTAGAATCTCGATAATCTGAGTCTGTCAAGGATGTGGAAAGTATTTGTACCTTCTGAAAATCATATCATCCAAAAGAAATCCAAAAAGTAATAAATATCCATACATGCTTGGTTTGTGAGAACAGATGGCTCTGGACGAGAAACTTGCTTCAATCCTAAATGCAGTGCAATACCGGCAGTATTGCACTGCCTCCGGGATCGGCCAATTTTTTTTATTCATTCAGCTTTTTCTACTCTAGCCTTAGGGCTAGAATAGAACACCCTGTAGCTCTCTAGCCGTGGTGACTGGGCCTGTGGCAGTTGTTATTTCTCATGCCGCAGAGGCTGGCTGTGACTACCGCGGCAGTGAAGAAAGATCCTTCGTGGCTTAACGATGTGTGATCTGAGCCAGTTGAACGGAATATTGGAAGTTGCGGGGAATGCTGCGATGTTGTTTACCTCAATGTGCCTTGATATTTTTAAAATTGAGAAACTTGACCTTCTCCGAAGTCGGCGCTTTTGTTCGTATAATTCACCGCGTCATGAGGGGGCACGCCACAGGAACCACGCTCTATAAATTGAGATTTATGGAGCGTGTTAAATTTTTGGCTGGGGTGCTTAAGAAATTCAAACCATCCCGAAATATGAATCAAGCATGATCGTATCATTGATATCTTACTAACGTAATATCCTGAGGGATACCCTGCCTCCCCCAAAGGTAACGCACTTCTATTTTTGGCTTGATTTGCTTTTTTTTTTTTTTTTAACACCGAAAGATGGCTTACTTTTAGCAATCATAGTGTTTGGATCGATGGTGACCTCGACGTAAATGCAAGTAATTAACTATGGTAGGACATAAGCAAACATTGCTGACTAAGAGGTACAGTCATCTTTGCTTTATTGTCCCTCGCCACAATTACAAGTTCTGTGGGGAAACATGATCTAAAAATAGTTCTTTTTTCAACCTTTCTTAATTGTACACCAAAACTTGGCCCACTCAGGATATTGTGGCAGTGGTGTTTATGCCGAATAAGGTTTGCATAAGAAGAGTGTCGTTTGAAAACTGTCCATCTCCAGTTCTCTTGGGAGCAATGCCGCCAGTGGCTCTATAGCATGTCAATTTGCGTCGATTACAACAGTGAAGGCAATGGGCCCCACGGGCGCCCATTGCCTTCATTGTTTCGTTATCGCCAGCCAAATCGATCCCACACACAAAATAGCGCAGGATTGTGACGCACTCACTGTGCGTGGTTGGTTTAGTCTTTGATAGCCAACGCAGAAAGGCCGTGAGTGCCGTGGCGATGCATTTTTGCTGCTGCGCAACTGACTCCACCCGATCGAAGACCTGTCGAAGAGACTCGTGCTTACCTCGTATAAAAACATGCTCGTACATCCTAGCCATTCCAAGCTTTCGCCGCTCGAGCCGTTGGTCGCATTGACTTTTCTATCTCTGCTTCACCCGGTTACGACGCTGCAACTCGACTTGTCCTGTTGCAGCTTCTCCGAGTGCACGGACGGCGGCCATATACTACTTCTTGTCGGCGTTGCTGGTCCTGCTCCTGTGCCTGGACTCCTACTTTGCACTCCCGCTGCTGGTAAGAGGTCCTGCCGGTAATGGCTCAGCCTTTGGGAGTCGAGGGGACCTGTGCTCTCGGCAACTGGGTGTCGGTGCAAGGCACTTGCCAGTTTTGCTGAATGTCAGTTGCGGTTTCCAGAGAGCCCTCTTGGAAGTGCCGTGTACTACTGTAGTTTATTAAACCATGAATATACTCCATTTCATACGTAACATACAAAGCTTTCCAATCTGCTGGTGCAAGCATCGGGCTTAGTCTCGTTAATCATTTACTTGTGTTTTTGCGCAAACGAAACCATAGGGGAAGCCATGCACTTGTGCCAGTAGCTTTGACAGAGTTGTACAGTCTAAGCTCGTTATAACAGACCTTGATTTTGACCAAGATTTTGGTCTGTTGTAAAAGGACTATGTTGTATGCAGATATGAAATTGAGTCAATGGTACGTAGAGGAAAACCAACCGAACTTCACAAATCGGTATGTTATATCCAAATGTCTGTTGTAACCAGGTCTGTTGTAATGAGCTTAGACTATATATTGAGTATGAAATGGAGTGTTTATTTACCTAATCCTTGCAAAGACTAATTTGTACTATCACTGTCACAATTTATTTGCAGCAAGGCAAGAAATGCAACTTGCACATTTCATCATTTGAAAATTTAATGTCAAATGCTTGATGGTACAAGTATTTTTTATCAATTTTTTCATAAAATATGTGCTCTTGCAGTTGCAGAATGGAAAAAACTATTTGAAAACGAGCATCATGTATAAACTTCAATATCCCCCTTTTTAGTGTTCTTTCCTTACCTGTACTCTATTACAGTGTAGACCGCATATAACGTATGTCGCGGGAGTCCCGAAAATCCGCACTATAAGCGGTACCGCACTATAACCAAAACATCAATTTTTCAAGCCAAGATGCATGCCATCAGACAACTTACCTTTGTAAAAGAATTTATTTTATGTTAGATGAAAAATAAAGCTTTAGTTTGAGGAAAGTCTTTATTTCACCAGACTAGTACACTTCTCTCTCAAGTGTGTCACACATTTTGAAAGAAATGAGCGACTTTTACCTGGCGCAGCCTTCTGACGGCGTCGCGGGTTGCGGACGGATGTTGCGAGCGTTCAGGATTGCTAACCCTAATCACTTTTCTCCAGCGATGAAAACGTGCGAAAATTCGCATCCTTTATACGGTACGCGCCCGTAATACCTTCAACTGGAGCACAGGCATGAAATGCTCCAAATAAGAAATCCGGGCGATGTTCGAAAACACAAATGCTTAGAAAGCACCACTATAGTCGAAGTAAACAAACACAACGACACGGGCGTTTCTTCCGTCTTGAGAGTGCCGCCACAACATCGCCGCACGAGTAGGTGGATCTTCCCTTCTAATACGTGCTGGGTTATCATAGCGACACGCAACGAAAATTTACAGTCAAGGATAGTGCTTTTACGCGGAACGATGAGCTTCTACGCCGTCTACGTCGACGATCAAAACCGACGCCATGTTTGCGGATAGAAGCAGCCGGCCCGCGACCGGCATGCAACGTGCGCGAACACTTCTCCTCGACCTGCGATTGGTCTGTCGTTGCGGTTGTTTTCCAACGCAGCGGAGGGACGCACGCACGTGAACGACATGTGCGTGCGTCCCTCCGTCGCTAGGGCAACTGAAGCCTCTCTCTTCGCTTCATTGAGCAACGTCCTTGCCCCGCGAGTGCCGCTTACGGCTCGCGCTGTTATCTAGTGTCGCACAGGGAAGCGTGCTCTCTGCGTGGGTCAGTCAGCGCGGTCGCCGGGCTGTTCCGAAAACCGCACTATAACCGGTATTTCCCTTCGCGCGCCTGCATTTTAAGCGGTATGTAATTACATGGAGTTCTATGGGAGGCGAACCGGTGGTTTAAAAAAACCGCGTTATACCCGGTCCTGCTCTATAAGCGGTTACGTTGTAAGTGGTCTATACTGTACTACTATTGTAGAGATCAGTGTGCGTGGCCTTGAATGTTGAAGTACTCAGTGAAGGCTGCAGATGCAATTCTTTGTTTGATCAGACTTTAAAACCTTGTGTCGCACTTTCTATGCTGTGGCTACTAATTTACTTTTCCCTGCCTGGCCCTTCCATTGCTTTTTACACACAATCTGTACCGTAAAATACCGGGCGAGCGCCCACTCAAACTTTGGAGATAATCGCGAAAAAATGGGGGATGGGCGCTTGTCCGGTCATGACTTTTACACATAAATGTACCGTGCATATTTTCTCAGGTCCTACGAATTTGGTAATGGGCGCTTAATGTGAAATGGGCGGACACGCGGTATTCTACGGTAGGGCTAGGTTTCATTAAAAGTCGTGCCAAAGAAGGCTGACACAAAAGTTTAACATATTACATTTAGAAAACTTGTACTCTGCTAAATGTAGCCGGAAACATCTACCCTCGAGGTTTAGCCGGTAAATTGAATTGTACACCTAATTTAGCAGAAGGGATTACATGACTTCACCAGGCACCAGCCACGTGACACTGTTGCAGTGGCAGTGCCACTGTTGCTCGAGGTGCCCTGTGTCTATAAAAGCAAAGCCCGAAATAAAATTAATGTTCTTTTATCTATTTATCTATCCAGGTTACCTCGCAGCACCTCAAAGGCATCATTGCAGGGAGGGGATGCTTATACATTTTCAAAGTTACAAATATAAGGTAGCTTGGCATGAGCACATGCAAGTTTCACTTATATAATGCTGATATAAAGGGGAAGAAAATTGTATGGCGAATCGCTGGGCAATTGTGTTGAATATGTGAAAAGTTCTTCCGTCACAAACGCTAGTAAAATCCAGGCATGTCTTCTCGAGCTGTGCCTCCAAATCTCTCCACTCTTCTCCACCTCGTTGACTCATTTACCCATTGACTTTCCCCGTCGTGTCGGCCTGTGTCCACAGATGAGGAATGACGGGTAGCGTGTAAACTGAATTTGCGTACAGGTCACGTGACATCAATTTTTCCACTAAATTTAGCAGGGAAACTAAATTTGTCTATAGGTCACGGGACATGAGGTCATAGGACTTTATTTTCCTTGCTAAATTTAGCGGGAAAATTGAATTGGCGTTGAGGTCACGTGACATCAATTTTCCCGCTAAATCTAGCGGGGAATTGAATCAGCGTATAGATCGCGTGACCATGTCACGTGACGTCAATTTTTCTACTAAATTTAGCGAAAAAATGGCGTCGTGTGGTGATGTCATGCGACGTCGCAGGTCACGGCTTCGCGAGATGCGGCGTGACCATATCAGGAGCAGCTAACCAAAGAATGTTTTACGTTAAAACGTAAACATGAAAGAGCGCGAATTCAGACATCAATATATACTCAACAGATGATTGAAAATCAGTGCTGTAGAGGTCGCGGAAACAGTTTCCTTTGGTAGCTTGTATCATTCACTCGTCGTAAGAGGAAAAATATTGGGTTTGATGACATCCGTTCTGCACAGATGCTCTCAAACCTCTTTAAGGCGGTCTCGCCTTCCGGATGTGAAGTGGGGAGGCAGGATGTACTTTGTTTTGTACAAGCCAATGTAATTATGAAAGGTGCTGTGATACAGTTTTAATGCTGGACTGTGCAGTCACGGTGTTATGTCATAGTGTTACGTAATGCAATGTGTAGTGATAATGTTACGTTATAGGGTTGAAACTACCAACACATGTACTGCTAGTAGCTACCAAAGGGTTTTACAGCCGCGGCGGCGATCTCTAAATCGGGAAGCGTCACTGCCCAGTAGCATGGTCTCAAATATCCACGGCTGTGTTCGCAACGTTTAGTCTACAGTACTGTGCAGGCTCTTTCCTTTTTTTGAAATCTGTGATGCTTCTTTTTTTTTTTATGTATATATATTCTCAGAAAGTGTTTGTGCCCTCTCCTATCATAGTCCCATGAGGGACTGATAGTATTTTGAAATATAATAAGCAACACTTCTGTCGGGCCAGTGATAGCTGCACTGTCTATCTTTCAAACATATACATGGTGTTCCTCAAAACGTGAGCCAAATCGCTCCTGCAAAAAGTATGCACCGCACAGAAAAAATGTTAATGTCTTATCGGTTTCTGCCAATGCACCCATTTGAGAAAATTAATAATGTTTGGTATTTTTTGTTTATTAATTAGAGTAAATAAATTTTGGAAGTAGTGAATTTGTATGTATGGTTTCAATGAGAAACTTCTTGAAAATCACGGAAAAACACTAAATCGACTTATTTTAAAAATGTAGAATTTATGTACAAAATTCAACTGCATCCCCCCCCCCAAAAAAGACCGCATCTCGACGTGGTGAATGATGTTGATTGGGGCGAAGCCCTGGTGGTGCTGATGATACTGATTTTATTGCTCATAGGTAGTGCTGATGGTACTGATTTTTTTTATTGCTCATAAGTAGTGCTGAGCTCCGGGTTGCGTTTCGACTTCATTATTACTGCTTTATGGTCGGTGAAATGCAGAGCCAGTGGTTCTTCTAGCGGATCAGCTTGGATCCGCTAGAAGTTTTGGGAACACATCTCTACCTCTTAAATCAAAGGTCCATGTCAGAAAGAGAAGGTGTGGTATGGAACGTGGTTATATGCGCATTTGAGCATTTGACCGCAGCGTCCTCTCGTCTATAAACATTGAGCCAATGCATGCAAAGTTTAACGCGATTATATGCGCATTTGACCACAGCACCCTCTCCTGTATAGACATTGAGTGGCTACATGCAACGTTTCATCCATGACATCCCCAGCTCTTGAGTTACTACCACATCTCAGAGCCCCCTACTCGTCCCGCAGTCGTGGCCGAGTGGTTGAGGCGGTGGACTAGAAATCCATTGGGGTTTCCCCGCGCAGGTTCAAATCCTGCACGGGGAGACGGACGGACGGACAAGGCTAAACCCTAAAAAGCTTCGCCCCTAAAAAAAAAAAAAACGCTTAATTCGGGCATGTTTTGAGGTTTCGGTTTTTAATTGGAGCACAGTTTTGTGCCAATGGTCCTGCCCCGTCGTTGAAGTGTGCACTTGCCACTTCGCCTCCCTTATAGGAGGGAAGGAAGTGTGGCACATGTGCGTCGCGTGCCTCAGCCACGGGAGGCAAGACCGCGGGTGCAAAGGTGCGCTCCGATAAGAAACCGAAAACTAGAAACACATTCAAATTTAGCGTTCTTTCGGAATGTTGTAAAATGCTGTGTGTGCCTTCTACATTTCTGAATTAAGTTGATTTAGTTGCTTTCGATGATCCCCGGCAAGCTTTTGAATGGAACCATACTTATAAATTCCCTAATTACGGTATACTGAATGTTATTTATGTTCCTAAAATGGGGCCCTTTGGCAGGGACTGATACGACATTGACCTTTTTTGCAGCGAAGCTGTTTATGGCTAGGGTCCCGGGCATTTTTCGTGGCGGGCAACGGAAACTGTCATAGCTTTGTTATGTCACGGCTTCGTGACGTCACAAAGTCAATGACGTCACGAAGTTGTGTCACGTGACGTCAATTTACCCGCTAAATTTAGCGGGGATATTTTTCCGCAAAATTTGGCAGGTAAATTTTTTCGCTAAATTTAGCAGAGAAATTGACGTCTGTGTCGTGTGCTAAACAGCTTCGCTGGTCATTGACCTTCACAGAGTGAAATGGCTCATCATTCTTTTTCTGTGCCATTCATACTTTTCGCAACAACGATTTGGCTCCCGTTTTCAGAAACACCCAGTAGAAGAGAGGATGTGCATACCGGAGAAGGACAGAGTCTAAGAGCGTTAAGTAGTAAACACTAAAGAAGCTGCAATGTCTTTGCCCAGAATGCCCCCCTGTGCCGGCAAGGTAGGAAAGAGTCCTTACTTGCCGGGCATAAGTTCCTGAAGGCTGAAACGGGAAAGCTTTGGAAAGTGATCCCGACAAACACGTTGAATCCTTGTCGCAACCATTGTGCGAGTCCCCCTCTTCAAAGGAATGTAAAGTCTCCCTGCCCTTCGGTCATTCCCACATTTGAGAACACGAGTTCCCAGGTTAGAAGGTGCAGGGCATTATTTTATTGAAACAGTGATTAACTGCGAAATGCAGGAAAGTTCATTTTGATGTCATAGCTTCTTTGTGATTTGCCAAATCAGGCAAGTGTTGAACTCCAAAGGCATTTCTGCATTCCTCTCTAGACACTGCCTAGTATTGTCTCAACATCCTCCAATACGAGCAGTTTGCCTCCTCTCGAACGATCCAGACAGCCTGCAAGCTGGCTAAACATTCCTTCGCATGGCCATCTTGGCCATGGGAAGGGCGATGTCACATTCTCTCATGGTGTGATCTCACAATGTCCATGCTGCAGTGCCACGTGACTGCATTGCAATGCACATCCCGTGTCTCTTGACTTTATCGTTGGAATTAAAATGCAATGATGTTTTTCTTCCAGCCTTTCTACAGGTACCACCAGCAACTGGCCAACAGGGCGGCAAGGACTTCGAGCACCCGCTCAAAGGCACCCCCCTACTGGCTCGTCTTTAAGCAGGTGTGGTCTCTTTCTGCCATTCAGTGGCCGCCTGTGAGCAGGGATGAGTAGACTTGTCTTCCTTACAGTCGAAGATGCACCTCAGCACTTTCAAGACGTGTGTTTGATCTTCAAATCGTCCTGCCTGCCTAGACCAAAGCATCAGATTAAAGATATGCATACCCCCCCCCCCCCCCCCCCCCAAAAAAAAAAAAAAAAAAAAAATTTTAATGGGTGGTGCAGCAATTTTGAACTTTGGCCAGTTAATGGAGGGAATTTAAGAGCGATAGGCATTCATCAAGATTGAAAAGTTTTGAGAAACAATAGAACAATAGCCTGAAGACTGGAACATGTCCCCCTCAAAAAAACGAGCCAAGAAACAGAAGGAAATTTGACTTCACGAAAATAACAAGGTGTAAAGTTGGGCGAGTTGGTTGATAGTTATATTCAATGGGTTTAAACAGCCTGAAAAGACGAAGGACCAGTAAAAGGAAACACACAGACTCAGCGCTGACTTACAACTGAATTTTAACTTATGCGCCATTCAACAAGTAAACTTGAAACCAAATAAACATACAAGCAATTGGCCCGATAGCACGTCATCTTCCCATCAAGTTGACATGCAGCTACATGTATTTACCCGGCTTTCCGATAAAATTTATCTCATCGCTAACCAGGGCAAGTGACGGAACACTTATGCACATGCCCGCGTTATGGTTGGCAATAAAAAAAGTTTCGTCAATCTCCTGAGCATACTTAGGTCTATGTCGGGCTAAAATCTTAATTTCATTAAACAATGGAGAGCATGTACATCTGTCACAGTGGCCCGCTAAGTTGCCAGACGGGGAGGAGCGTAAGGGCAGAGAATGTTCCCTCGCCCGGTCATTAACACATCTCCCAGTCTGCCCAATGTACACTTTTCCACAGGACAACGGAATTTGATACACCACCCCACATGCACAGGCGATAAACCGGTTGCGGTGCTTAACTTGACATTGTGTACTTGCGCGACCACCTTTATTCACGGCTGCAAAACAGCTGCCCCTGCAATTTTTAGATCTCAATCTTCGATGTGAGCCCTTGCATTTGTGTTGGGCCTATGAGCCTAGATCTAAGAAGGGGCCGGCTCTTAGTGCATGAATCCGCACACTCTGAAGCAGTGAAAAGGGTCATTGCACTGCCCAGTCTCCGCACCGCCTTGTTTAATTCGTGCCACCATAGGTGTGGTGACAGTTTTTTGTTGAAAGTCAAAAGGTTGTCAATCGCTGGTTTCCCTTTGGGGGTTGTCATGGGCATTGTTGAATCCTTGGTTAAGGTGTTTAGAGGGCCTCCTAGTACTGAGGCAAGACAAAAACCAGCGGGAAGACCTGTGGTCTTGCCGTATATGCACATGGTGTCCCACGGTGTCAAGAAGGTTGCAAGTAGGTACAACGTGCCAGTTGTGTTTTCGGCTCCAGTTAAGTTTGGGCAGCTGTGTGCAGCGTTGAATCGAGGTGGTCGCGCGGGTACACAGCGTCAAGTTAAGCACCGGAACCGGTTTATGCCTGCGCATGTGGGGTGGTGTATCAAATTCTGTTGTCCTGTGGAGAAGTGTACATTGTGCAGACGGGAAGATGTGTTAATGACCAGGCAAGGCAACATTCTCTCTCCTTACGCTCCTCCCCGTCTGGCAACTTAGCGGTCCACTGCGACAGATGTACATGCTCTCCAGTGTTTGATGAGATTAAGATTTTATCACGACATAGAACTACATATGCTCGGGAGATTGACGAAGCTTTTTAATGCAAAAGCGTTAACTCTGATGAAGCGAGTTGACGTCATCAGCGAAAACGGCACCTAGTTTCTTTTGGTTCCATTGGCTGGCGCGCGTTGACGGGGCTCCCATTGGCCGCTGCGCTCGTCAGTTTCCACGACCGCTCACCCCATGGCGCTGCATGTCCATCAGCTCGCCGTTAACACGGAGCGTCCAAAGTCACCAGGGGAGCTCGCTCGCTGAACGGCGACGAAAAGTACTGTGTGTGTCTTATTGCCTCTGCCCGATCGGACCGCACTCCGCTCGCTCGCCGAGAAACCAGACGAAACCCGCTGTCATGAGGAGTTTTATAAATACAGTTCTCTTCGTGGTCAGCCGCTGGCTTGGCCTCCTCAGTTGGGGCAACCGCTGCTGTGTTGTCGGTCTGCCTCGATGATGCAGGTCCAGCTCCGCAATGAAGGTCTGGGTCCGCGACTTTGTGATGAGGAATCGTCTGCCCTCGAGCTCTGCCAGATTCGACTGTTGTTACCGGGGCTGTCACGTTCCCCCCTTTTAGGGGCAAAGCTCCTTAGGGTCTAGCCTTGTCCGTCTGGCATCCGTGCTCACATCGATTGCCATCCCATCTGTTTTCTTAAAAAAAAGTGAAAGCCGTTTACAACTCCCTGTAACGCCGAATTGGAGCGCAGCTCTTGAGGAGGAGGAGGGAAGGGTACTGAGGGGAGGGTAGACCCCTCCTCCTCCTCATCCTCCCCTCATTCTTTAATATGTTCAAGGGGGTCACCTGACCTCGGGGGGAGGGGGTCACGTGACCTTGGGGGGGGGGGTCACATGGCCGGGGGACCAAGTGACCTCGGGGGGTCACGTGACCTTGGGAGGGATCACGTGACCTTGGGGGTCACGTGACCTTGGGAGGGATCACGTGACCTTGGGGGTCACATGACCTGGGGGGTCACGAGGGGTGACCTTGGGAGGGGTCACGTGACCTTGGGGTGACCTTGGTTACGCCGACGCCGCTCAAGCGAGAAACGGGCGCCTAAGAGCTGCGCTCTAAAAGAAAAAGTGTTTGCACAGTCAACAGGATTCGAACCTGTGCGGAACCCAATGGATTTCTAGTCCATCGCTTTAACCACTCGGCCACGACTGCGGGACGAGTAGGGGGCTCTGAGATGTGGTAGTAACTCAGAGCTGGGGATGTCGTGGATGAAATGTTGCATGTAGCCGCTCAACGTCCATACAGGAGAGGGCGCTGCGGTCAAATGCGTATATAATCGCATTAAGCTTTGCATGCATTGGCTCAACGTTTATAGACAAGAGGGCGCTGCGGCCAAATGCTCAACTGCGTATATAACCACGGTTCATACCACACATTCTTTTTCTGATGTGAACCGTTGACTTAAGCGGTGGAGATGCGTTCCCACGGCTTTTAGCGGATCCAAGCTGATCCGCTAGAAGAACCACTGGCTCTGCATTTCACCGACCATAAAGCAGTAATAATGAAGTCGAAACGCAACCCGGTACTCAGCATATGAGCGATAAAAAAAAAATCACCACTACCAATGAGCAATAAAATCAGTATCATCAGCACCACCAGAGCTTCGCCCCAATCAACATCATTCACCACGTGGAGATGCGGTCATTTTTTTCTTTTTTGTCCCTTGCGCCTCGCCGTGTGCCTCTCTTCTTCCTCGTCCCCTACGGTACGCAGCAGACGAAACAGGGAGCAGACGATCGGCTTGCATGCTTTCGCATTCACAACTCTTAAGAAGTGCTTAGGTGTACTTCAATCTTTTTTTTTTTGCCAACCATGATGCGGGCATGTGCGTAAGTGTTCTGTCACTTGCCCTGGTTAGTGATGAGATCAATTTTATCAGAAAGGCGGGTAAATACGTGAAGCTGCATGTCGGCTTGATGGGAAGATGACATGTTATTGGGTCGATTGCTTGTATGTTTATCTGGTTTTAAGTTTACTTGCTGAATGGCGCAGAAGTAAAAATTCAGTTGTAAGTCAGCACTGTGTCTGTGTGTTTCCTTTTACTGGTCCTTCGTCTTTTTGCTCTGTTTTAACCCATTCAATATGAGCGCGAAAATAGTTTCAAACTATATAAAAAAAATGCCTAATGAATACATATTGTATGGAAATTGTGAATACTGTAAAGAACTTTATTTTCATGGGGTCGAAATTTCGCGAAATGGTGTGGTATACTATGTATTTGCTACCATAGGAAAACATTCCGTGGCCTATTTTTTGCGAATTATGGGTGATTCGTGAAATTTGCGAAAATTAAGTTGTTTACAGTACCCTTTCATTAAAATCATAATTGTTATTTTTTTGTATGCCAAATTTCTTTTCTTGAAAATATAGTGTGAAACAATCTGCACATGTTCAGACTTGTGGCTCATTTATTTAATTTGTGCGTTTCAGCCTTAATGGGGCACTAAACTCCCCAGAAACATTTCTTTAAGTTCCTGGATAAGTGACATATGTCGTAAAATAAATTTCCCCCTCCCAAAAACAAGCAAACAATTTTGAGCTCAATATTTACATACCAAGACTCGTTCGGAGTTGGGATTAGTTCCGATATGCGCTCCAAATTTGGGGTGAACATCTCGAAAAAGCGCTTTCCGGAACCACTTTTAACTTAAAATACAGTCTTCAACAATGTGGAAGACCCGTTCAACAATGCAGATTCAGGCGGCCGTGCACGATTCGCCTTCGACAGGTCCACACTGCACGAGGCAAGCAAATAGACAAACTTTTCTTCTATGCTCGCCATCGAAACATAAAGTGCCCAGGGCCAACATGTGCTTAGCTCCACTGGATAAACTGTCTGGGCAAAGAGGCCTTTACTATTGTTGGGTACTGTGCCTTGTAACAACAATGTTGCGCAAAGCACGTTTGTTTTTCAAGGAAAGCTTACTTTGTGACGAAAGGTTGTACCCAGGTAGCGCAACGATTTTAACTTCAAAAAGATTTGCAGCTTGTAGTTCTTACATTGTTTGTTTCGGCACAATTGAGAGCCGACGCACCATCTTCCACCGAAATGCTGCGCATGTGCAAAGAAATGAAACTTGTTTTTTTCTTCACAATCTGCAGCCGCGTGTGGCGGTTGTCAATACTATGGTGCGACATTATTTGGAATGCACAAGCTTTTGTGGTGCTATCTATTGGAAATAAAGAAAACCATTTTCTCTCCGTCCGTATCCGGATAAACCTGTAAAACAAATGATTGAAGCTCTCGGCAGCACCAAGGAATTCCTTGTGGTCTGGACGTTGTTGTGACTAAGCAGTTGAGCAGCGTACAGAGCTTGCAAGCAATAGTCGGCATCTGGGGAATGTCCGGCTCATACCCTAGTTATGCATCAATGGGTTGCTTAGAGTTGCTAAAATTGCACTTGAACTGCGAAAAAGTCTTTGAGGGCGGCGGCAGTTGAGGAAATTTGGGAGCGTGGGGAACCTTGGAACTCGGTTAGAGAACTCTCGAACGAACGAAGTGGAGGTCGAATGTCAGTACCGTAATGTACCGAAGGGTAGTAACAGGGTGGGAGTGTCCTTTTTTTTTCGGTGTGCATGTTAAATCGTGGTGTTCTGGTGAGGCCATTATTTTTCTCTGTCTGCTTCTGCCAGGTGTGGGCACAGTGCCTTAACGTGTTCCTCATCTTCTTCGTGACCCTGGCGGCATTTCCGGCAGTCGCGTCCGACGTCAAGGTCTTGGACCCCAACTTTTTCCTTAATGGTGGGTGCATGAGTCGGCACAATTGTCATACGTCTGGGTGTTCGTTGAAGTTCTCTACGTTACACCAGTGTGCATCTGTCACTCTATTTCTGCCTATTTCGCTCACCATTTTTGTTCTGATCAATTAGTGAGTCTTTGCTAGGAATGTTCTACTATGTACTACCTCTTTTAATAGTAACTTGTAACACTAGTTTTACTATTTTCTCTGAAGTAACAACGAAAGTAACGACATTACATTGTCGTTACCTTTCAGTTTCTTGAGCATTAAGATATCACTGAACAAGTAAAATTTGCGCACTTTTCAAAATATTTTTTAGTCATTTTTGAGTGCCACGTTTGCCTTGTTCCAACTCGCACAAACTTGCACTTTTGTGATAAACGGGAAGCATTTTCTACTTTTTTATTTGAATCATAGTCTGAGGGACAGTAACTTAAAAGTAATGCCGTTACTTTTCAAAAGTAGCTAGCGTAACAAATTACTTTTTTATTTTGGTGACTGTCCTGGCAGCTTTGCTGCTTTTATGAATGTAATCGAGTGTAACGGACTTTTGAAAGTAGCTTACCCAAGGCTGATTAATGACCTCCCACTAACAGCCGAGTTGGCAGCAAAAACATCTAGAGCCTCTAAATATGCTGTGTGTAAGCCATCTTGTTGCTTAGAATCATTGTGGCCAGCTATCTGAAACTCCACCTGAATCCACAGAAAGCACTTTTCTATCCTCTAGAAACAATAAAGCAGTCCATATAGAGTAAAACGGTATCGCCCGAGCTCCCTGGCACCATATCGTAAGCTCGGGAAGTTGTATTATGAAGCCGCAACTTTAACCAATAGACCCTTTTCGAAATTTAGACCGGCAACTTTGATCACTATCATCATCGCGGCATATGGCATCTGTGCCATAGTTCTGGTGGCCTTCTTGGGTTGGTGCACTGATCTCTATGTCTATTTCGTGGATCGCGTTTGACCAGCTCCGCCTATGGACCGAAATGCGGTCACTGGCGGCCATCTTTAGGTTGAGTTATATCATCTCTAGCCATCATAGTTATATGGTGGACAGCGCAATGGCGGCCAGGTGCCATAAAATAGCCGTGGATCTAGTACACTGTACCGTGGGAGATATTTCGTGCTTGATTCAAGTTGTTCGACGACGCAGATTCTTGAAACCCGGCGCAAACGGTAGCCTCATCTTTGAGGACCCAGAGAAAGTTCTACAAAAGCGCAGCACCGGGGGAAAGCAGCGCAGCTCGCATCGAAAGCAGACTCCGTACCGGCGTCTGCTTTTGATGCTAATTTTGATGCGACTTTCGATGCGAGCTGTGCTGCTTTTCCCCCGGTGCTGCGATTTCGTGAAACTTTCACCAGGTCCTCATAGATTGTGCTACCGTTCACGCTGGGTTTCAAAAACATGTTTCGTCAAACAATTTCAATCAAGCACGAAATATCATCCACCCTATTTTGACGGCAACCTGCCACCACACCTGCCAAAACGTTGTCTGCCATGGATGGATTACAGTGGCTGCAGGAGCTGTACCTTGGCTAGAGGTAATATAGCTCTACCTAAAGATGGCCGCCAGTGACCGCATTCGCAGAGCGGGCAAACGCGATCCAGCAATTGTCATTGAGATCAGTGGGTTGGTGCATATGATATGCGAGGCCTGTACGCTCGAGGCATCAGTGCGTACAACACGATGCACGAATTAGATACGACGGCTGCTTAGGCGTTTATATCCGAGTGTGGTCCAATCCATCTCTCGGCGCAATTTTGCCTTTAAAGCCTTTTGATGGCTGAAATTGGATTGAGACACTCGCGGGCTGCCACATCGTGCTGGTCAGTTCTTTTGTTCACACCACTGAAACAGATCAAGAAAGAGTTATGAGGTGATCAAAGTGACAATGCCCGACGAAATACAGTTCCATAACTGCCACTAGTTTGTCATAAGTGAAACTGCTTTTTGAGCCACCAGATGGTGCTGAATATAGGAAAGGGTTTATTGCTCCCACTTTTCCTTTGGCCACGAGACGTTCAAGGAACGGGCCGTCGACACTCTAGGTGTAGTTGATTTAGCGACTCTAGGAAAGGTGCTGTTACCATCGGCTCGTTGCAGGAGCCCAACCGTTTCTCAATGTGTTGCCTCAATGTTTCCCCGGCTTGCAGAAAAGTACTTCACAGCAGTGGCCTGCTTCTTCGGCTTCAACTTCTTCGCCATGCTCGGCAGCATACTTCCCATCTGGGTCCGCTGGGTGAGTCCCGTTTCTGTGCAGTACAGTTTTTCGTTGGAATTTTTTACTAAAAATGTGTTTCTGGGCCGGTTACAAGAAAGCGCCGTGCAGGTTCCTTCGGTGCCCGCCGAGTGTCTTGACAAACTGTGCGGCGGGGTCAAGTTTGTCTGTGGCTGCAAGAAGCAGTCATGTCACGTGACGTGGTTACACGACGTGACGGCTCCCGTTTCTCTGCGGCAGAATTTTTTGTTGGAAGTTTTTTTTACGAAGAATGCATTTATGGGTTGGTTACGAAAAAGCGCCGTGCAGGTTTTTTCTGTGAACGCTGAGCATCTCTACGGACTGTGCGGCGGGGTCAAGTTTGTCTGTGATTGCAAGAAGCAGTCGCGTCACGTGACGTGGTTACGCGAAGTGATGGCGTCGAGCAACTCAACTTTACGGCACGTAGCAGGGTGCTACATGACACCGTGGTGCCGAGCGATATGGTCATGTGATGTTGCAGCATTGAGTCGTCACGTTACGCGACGCTATGACTCGATGCTGTAATGTCACATGACACTTTGATTTGACATCGTCGTGTCACGGTACATTACTTGATACCATGATAAATGGTGGGACATTGGGTCACTTAAAGTCACGTAATTAATTGCGGTGTCCCAATAAAAAAAATGTCACAAAAACCCAGTGTTCCCAATCATTGCGATTCTGCATACTAAGGTTTATTCGACTCGTTGAAATACAGCTATCAGTTTTTCGTTTCTCTATAGAGCTTTTGGGTATTTTAGACTCCCTAAAAGGTGCTGGAGGTAACACGTTACGAGTAACGGTATTACATGGTGTCAAGTAAAGGTGCCGAGAGAAATCGCGTCACTCGCGTCGCATCGCTCGGCACTTGACGTGCGAAATCGCGTCACCCGCCTCCTTTTCGCAGCCGGGGCCAAGGTTCCTGTGGGTCCCAGTCGTGTTGCGGCTAGTGTTCCTGCCGATCTTCCTGCTGTGCAACTACCTGCCGAAGGAGCGCCAGCTCCCGGTGTGGATCGCCAGCGACTGGGCCTACATGGTGGCCATGGCCGTGTTTGCCTGGTCCAGCGGCTACCTCAGCAGCCTCGCCATGATGTACGCGCCGCGCGTCGTGAGGTCGCCGCAGCACGCGCCAGTTGCCGGCATGATGGCCGCCTTTTGCCTGGTGCTCGGGATCTTCGTTGGCGGCAATGCCGCTTTCCTCGGGCCACGGATCGTGAAAGGGGACTGGTTCTAGCAAGGCGTTTGTGCGCCGCATTTGTCAGGCGTTCTCATTGTTTGTTTGCAGGGTTGGAGAAAAGGAACGAACGCAAGGACTGGCTTCGAGATTGCCGAGTGCTTGATGTACGTTTGGAAAGTTGACGGTGTTTTACGCAAATGTGTACGCCATGCTCGGCGTCGACTATCTCACATTCGTGCAACACGTTTGTCGAGCATTCTCGTTTGTTTGTGAGCTCGTGGAAAAAGAACGAGCTTAAGGACTGACGTCGAAATTGCCAAAGGCAGGCAGTCCCGAGTAAATAAAACGGCGCAAGAAAGGACGCGGGGACAAGCAGAAGGCACACAAACACGGCAGTGGCTATTGACTAATTTTGGGGTTTTTTTTTCTCACAGCAAAATTCATTGACTTAAAAGAAGTGTGCAATAGTTACTCTTTCTGATGGTGAATTTTAACTTGCTAATTAGACTGGCACATTTCTTTGATGGAGGGATGCCCTGTCTGGTTCTCTCAGTTTTTCCTTCTTTTTGTCGTCATATTCTCTTTAGAAAGAAAACGACGGTCGATGGTCAGCTCTGTGTTTGCGTACATTTTCTACTTGTTCTTGCACCCTCCTTTGCACTGTTTTATTTATTCTGATCATTCAACTGTACACCTTGCTACTGGCAGTCCTTTTTTGTATGAATGTGCACATTAGGTTTGTTCAGCGTTTGTTCAATTTCGGTGAGCTTGAGGGAAAGTGAGATGGTTATGAGATTGATTGCCGAAATTACCTCTCTTGCACAGTGTGCACTATATGTTTTGAAGCTGTCAGTGCTGTTTCGTGCTGACGCGTCCACTGTGCTCGACATAAGACTTTTTGTCCCACATTGCCAAGGTTACCACAGTTTCTGTGGCACTCCAGTGCTGTCGAAGCTGCTTGCGTGGGTATGTAGCTTCGTCTGGTGTCTCCTCTGCACGAGAGCACGTGCAAATGAGATGCAAGACAGTCACGCGCTCTCTCAATAGTATGGAAGCTACTATGCTTTTGACAGCACAGTGCAAAAAGGTGTTGACGCCGAGTATACGCTTGTTCAGCATTTGTTTAATTTTTGTGTTCTGGAGGACAGATGGGATGGTTATGAGAGTAACTGCCAAGATTACCTCTGTTGCGCAATGTCCAATTTCGAAGCTGATGGTCTTGTTTCATGAAAATCAGTGTTTGTTAAATTGTGGGTGTTTGTCTCTTAAACAAGATCAAGTGTGAGGGCAGATGGGGCATTTGTGAAAGGGGACGTGAAGAGTACCCCGACTAGCTTCTGACATGTTTTGAAGCAGGCGATCATGTTTTGTGCAAAAATGTATGTTCAACATGTTCCACATCTTCCTCCTTTGGAAATGCTGAAGTGTGAGCTAACGTGGTATGTGTGAGAGGTAATGTTGAAAATGCTTTGATTGTGGATAGCTTGTTTTTTTTGTTTTTTTTTTTTGTGAAAATGTGCATTTGTAGCTTCAACTTTTTCCTTTTTAACATCCTTGAGTGCAAAAGCTAATGAAACGTGTGAGTTAATGTCAAAACCACCGAATGCTGAATTCCTGGTGTATGTTTTTAAGGTCACTGCCTTACTTTTGTGAAACTGTAATTAACTACTGCAACATTTGCCCCTTTCAACATGCTTGCAGGGTTATTGTCAAAACGACCCTGATTGTTAAATGCCTCATGGGAATTCCAAGCCTTTGTATGTGCACTTGTTCAACATTTGCTCCTTTTCAACCTGATTAACGTGAAGATTTTTGGAATAATAATGTTCTTGGAATATTTATGTCCGCCCTTTAGAACATGTTTGAGTGTGACGATTATAGTGGTGGACTTGTTCTCAATGTTCGTTCGCTTTTTGCCTTTTTGAGATTGGGGGTAATGTTAGGCTTCATGCAAGTAATTAAGATTTTTGGTGGGATTTTCGCGAGCGTTTCCAATACCAGTCATCTGTTGCTGAGGTTTGTGCGGGTCTTCAATGATGTTTGTTGGGGAGCAACAAAATATCCAGGTGCTGGTTGCACGAGGTTTGATATGGGTAGAGGCTTATAGTATTGCACTCGTATGCACAGTGATTCTTGAGAAACTGGACTTTGCATTGCCTATATTTGTGTTCTTTTGTTTGAGTATAAATGTTCTCTTCATTATACCTCTGCCCATAGTGCAAGGATGTAAAATTGCCCCAAAAAATGAAACAGTATTTTTTATCCTTTTTTTTTGTAACTACTATTCTGATATGGATGATGACATATCACACTAAGGTCAAATCTTGATATAGCTTTTGTTTCTCTGGGATCTCTTAGTGATATTTTCACTGTATTTTTATCTCTTCTTTTCAATGTAGAATTTTTTTTTTTTTTTTTTTTTGAATGGTGGAGTAGAAACAGCTGAGGTGGCTCCATATATGTTGTCTTATTACTTGACTTGTTAAAAAAAGAAAAAAAAGTACTTGATTTCCTTTGAACCGATACTAAGCCCCAAGGAAGTTCTATCAAAACTTTGTGTTAATATTGAATTATTTAGAGGGGGACAGTTTTGTATAATTTAAATGTTTTGTCGAACCAACTGTGTTTTTAACATGCTATATTTTGAGATAAGATTCCTTTCAGAACAACTACAAGTTGAAGGGGTTGATGTGTGAAATATGGTTTGAAATGACCCAGTGCAATGGCCTACTACTGTAAATGTAGCAAGAAAAAGTAATATTTTCAGTGGGACATGTTTTGGCTTGAAGAATCAATCGCAGCCCCTCATAAACTCTCTGATGCTCAAAGGACCAGTGGTTCCATGCAAGAAATTGTTACTTTGTGCTGCAGTCGCGACGGAGTCTAGTGCTCTTTTGATACTGTTGGAGCAGAGCTCTGCGCCATGCACAGGCTTTATCTCGAAGGGCTTCCAAGCCGAGATACCTCGGAATTTGCGAGGAATGTAGAGTATGAGATTATCATAGCATTTCTATTTTTTTGTGCTCAGTGGTTACTAGTTAGGGTTGGAGTGTTGAATGCACCAAGCATGCAGAAATTCCCAAGTTGTGGTAATACTAGGCAATTCCTTCGAGGGAGTTTGAAGTAGAATTGACCACCGTTCAGACACGCATATACTGGGGATGTATGGTTCTAGTCCAGTCTAGTATTGCAGGGCTGCTGCTTGTGACATCGATTGCGAAGTTCCTGTAGCATTCAAGCAATGTCTAAACTGTCCGATTTCATTCGTAGCAGTGTTGAACTGTTTAATCCAGCGTCGAAATGTTGCACAGAGATCGACCGGCATGCCAAGCAGGCCGCAAGATAGCAGAGCTCTGCTCGACCAGCTACAGTTTCTACTATAATGCTCGGAAGAGCTGCCCTCTCATTGTTTACCTCTTTAAAAATAATGTGCCGAGGTTGTTGCGCTTTAGGCCTTGTTCTGTCTGTGTGTATATTTGTGTTTTGTTACAAGGTTTCTTTTGTCTTACCAAACGTGCAAAATCGAGCACGTTGGGTGTGTATGCACATTTTAAAACCATAACCCCACCATGTGAATGGCTGGCCAATCAATTTGGTGTGCATTTTGAGGCAGTTTATGTTGGCTTTGTGGGATGTCTGGTGCGGTGGTATGTGTAGGCTCAACTATGTTGCATTGGGTTTGCAACACTTGGGCTTTGGAGGGTGAATCATTTTAGTCTGACACCAACCTATAGGGAGTATTCACTGGCCGTCATAGCTGAGCTCGCTGCTGCTTCCTGACCACGGAAGAAGAGAGAGAGGGGAGAGATGCTTTTGTACGAATTTTGAGTGGCAAGTTAATCTTCTATAATCTTCTAGAGGGAGAATAGCGACGTTTGGAGAAGCCTGGGACCCACAAAAGAGAGTCCCGGTGATAAGAGGATTTCTTCTTCCCCTCTTCTCTTGCGGTTGCCCGAGAGCTGACCGGAAACTCTTTCCGGGCATGCGCTGTGAGCAGTTACCTCAAATATGGCGTCCAGTGAATACCCCCTATAGGACCTTGCAGTCTCGTTTTTCAGGACTGGCTTCGGATTTTTGCATAAATGTCTAATCGAGTAGTTGGTGGTCGCAAGGTTACAAAATTTTATTGAGTTTGATGCGTTGTCTAGTAAAAATGAATACTATAGTGAGGTAGCTGAGCCTTCTCAGAACATTCCACAGTGTCTCCTAGAGTTTGTGGAATCAATTAGCGTAGGTGGAACAATAAAGGTCAGATTAGGTTGACTAAAGAAAATGGCCGTCAGATTAAGGTGACCCGCCCTTCAGTTAGGCCCAACTCACACAGACAGTCTTTGTCAATTATTCTAATAGGCCTAGCTCTCTGGAGATGTAATTCACCTTTTGGTTGAATCTTGAGTCATACCAGCTGTGTTCTCACTTCTCATTTTGATTGGGCTAGTGTTTCATCCAGTTTGGAGATTAAAGACAACTCTGCGCACATGCCTCGCGTCTTTGTCGTCATGTAGCCTAATAATTGCCTGGATTATGTATAGGCACTTTGTTTCAGCCTAAATCCAGACGCAACCGATACTACGAACGCGAGTACCTGGCTTTCAGTGTCCCTGCTAAGCATGTGCGCTCATGCAGCGCAAGCACTGCTCAGGGCCACATGCTTGAGCTTGTAGCATCGGCTGAGTCTGGTCTTAAGCTGAAACAGTTTAGCCTTGATTTAACGAAACCCGATTTTACGAATTTCCTGATTTAACAAACAAATTCAGATTCCCCGCACAGCCTATGCCCAAAAATATGTCTTTCTCAATTTTACGAAGTTCCCGATTTTACGAAATAATTATGGGTCATGGTGACTTTGTTAAATCGAGTTTCAACTGTATAGTTATCCAGCCAGAACAGACGAGCATAAGAAATATTGCAAAAGTCAATGTTTGATACTTGATACAGAGATGAAATCATATATTATTTCAGGCGATAATCAAAAATCTTGGGAATTCGCACAAGCCTACTGTAACGATCCAGTCATGTAGTGTGCTAGATTTATTTTCAGTATTAATAAAGTGAAAATGACGTAGCAATCGCATCACTGCGTTGATGAGAAATTCAATACAAATGCAATATGTATTGGGGAGGAGATCGGGCCGTGGCGCCCCAAGTGGTTCATTTTAAAACTACTCTGATGGGGACAACAAATGGAGGGTGGTTTCATATGAAATCAAACATATTGTTGGGGTGGGTCTTTTAGATTTTTTTTTTTAATATATATTTGGGCGGTCTCATTTGGATTCAGGCTTCCAATATTTATATTTTGTGGCGCATATTTGAAGAACAATCCTTTTTATTTTAATGTCGTGACATGTTTAGTATCTTAGAAAACAAATTTCAAAGAAGCAAAGGAGAACGACGATGTTTTGACGATTGTCATGTGTGGCATATTTTAATTACTCAGTCTCAAGGTGTTCAAAAGAAATTGTCTATATTTTATATTGTGATATACATATATGCAAATAGGTAAAAGGTTATAAGTACAATTTATTATTAGTCGTTTTAATTTTTGTAAAAATCCCCAAACATGCCTCCGCAAAGCACTGTGACCTAAACATGTCTCTGCAAAGCACTGTGATTTTTTTTTTTTTTTAGTTACTATGTTTAGTATCGCTTTTAAAATAATACTACGTGTAGAACCTTTGACTGCCTTTCACATTAAGCGAAGTTTGTGTCTTCATCATGTATGAGTACTAAGAAAAAAAGATAAAAAGGCTTTCACTTTTTGTTAATTTTTTTTTTCTTGCGTTGCGTTTCATACATTTGAGTTTTAAGCCTTTAAATATGCTAAAAAGAGCTAATGCCGATGGTGGGCTTATTTTTTAAAGGCCATCTAGGAAGTGCTTCCTCCGACGGGCGTCGGAGGAGTGGGACCTGTGTGCAAATCGTTCCTCCGACGCCGGAAGTGACGTAGTCGCGTCGGAGGAAAGACGCCTGTGTGGAAATCACTCCTTCGACGCCGGAAGTAACGTATCATCCCCGGCCCCGGATGTTGCCTTTGTTATGACATGTGGCCGACCATGTGCGTCTGCCGCTGTAGTCTTCTGTGGTCGGGTCCTGGCCGCGCTGCTGTCGGCTCCGGTCACGCAAGCTATTTTGACTGATTTTTCGCACTCTTTGAAGCGTTTTGTTTAGCATTATCTTGTTCTTTTTAGCAATACATTTTTCCGTATCTAGTGCTACTCTTTGTATTTTAGCTTTGATCGCACCCCCAACGTGCCTCGAGTTTTGGTAGCCGGCGATTCGATGGTGAAGTACTTGCCATTGAATAGTCGGTTGGCTGTTGAGGTTGCGCCGTTTAGTGGTATTAGAATCGAGCACTTGTTTTCCCAGGTGTCTGAGAAGCTACCCGATTTTGATGTTGTCACCCTACACGTTGGCACTAATAATTCCCATATTAGTGCCAGCGTCTACATCGACAAATATCGTCGTCTAGCTGCCGAGATCTGTGAACGCAATCCAGTGATGCAGATCGCCTTTTCTGCCGTTCTTCCGAGACGGGAGAATAGGTTCTGCTCATTGGAATGGCAGCGTAGTCACGCTGCAGAGATCGAGGCTTCGAATGACCGTTACCGAGAGGTGAACTCGCTGCTGCGAGAGTTGTGTCGCAGGGAAGGGTTCACGTTCCTTGACGGGCTTGCTGACGAGTGGCACCAGTGGATCCACCGCGACGGCGTCCACCCAAACCGGATCGGCAACAAGGTATGCACACGTGCGTTATGTCGCTGCACTAAAGAGCGCGAATATAAGGCGGCTACGATTGCAAGGCTCACCGTAAAAAGGGGAGCTGAAAATTGACCTGCGCACGTGGCGAGCTAAATTACTGGTTCGATTCAACTGGTTGACAGAACGGTGCCAACTCCAGCAGCGAAACACGGCACAACTTGGAAGGTTGACCAGTCTTTATTGTCAAAAACCGAGAATGAAAATAAATAGGTTCGGTGACGTTCACGTTTCCGGATTGAAGGAAGCACAGCGTAGCTCTAAGGACCGCTTCAGTTGCCTTGTTAGCTAATTGCGACGATTGAATCGCCCTTTCAGAGCGAGTATTAGCTGCTGGCGTCTGTCAGCATCCGTGACGACGTCCCTAGCTTCTCTCCATCGCGTGAAGAAAGGTGCTCACCCGTGTTTCCGCGTTGCGCAGGTGAAGTCCTGATAGGATGCGGTTGCGCTCCCACCTTACAATCAAACAATTCCAATTGCTTGTGTCACAACAGCTGCCAGTTCGGGTAGACTTTCCGCCATTTTTACCATTGTGCTCTCCGCGGCTGTTTTCTCTTCCGTCTGGTTTCTCCCTGGCTGCCCTCCGGTCGTTGAACTGCATCTTTCTGCCCTCGAAGTTCACCGTTGGGTCGCAAGAAGCGCAGATATGGTTTTGACATTTTCATAACGACACGTTTATCAATACACCAACTTTGGCGATGGTTTCCCTTCTCTACCGACCACTTACGCCACCTAGCCATTCTGTTTTACCATTTAAGCTTAGAATATTTAAAGGTGAAAGCTATATTCACTCCGCACTGCAAAGAAAGTGAGGCTATAAAACACCCTTGCCATCAGTTAACAAGAAAATACCTAGTTTTCTCTCGCCTTCTGCCACCATTCACTTAATATTTGCTTGGTAATCTCTACTGTCTTGAAATCCACTGTTCCTTCGCTGTTTCTAAAACCCAATGACTTTATTAAATCTATGTTCTCTTTGTATCAAGTGCTCAGCCGTCTCGTCCTCCTCTCCACAAGCAGTGCACACTGTATCCATTTCCTGGTACTTCGCTCTGTGTGTTCTGGTTTGCAGTTCACCCGTCCTCGCCTCAAACAACAATGAGCTTCCCCTAGAATGGTCATAAATGCTTCCTTTGGCAATAACTGTTTTGTTTAATTTATAGCTTTCCAGAGCCGTCTTTGTCTGCATTCTCTCTAGCCACCAATCTCTTTCTGTGACCTTAACTGACACCTGCTCTTCCTAAGTCCACTATAGCCTTAAAAACTGTCCTCCTAACTCCCTAGTGCACTGTCTCCAGTTTGTATCTATACTCCTCATGTATAAATAGCTGAAAACCTTTTGTGCACATTGCCACCCATCCATTTGCCTCAACCAATCCTCAAATTCTATCTTGCTCACCGCTTCCCTGCTCTCAAATGACGCCCATCCCATGTCTCCTTGTACTAGCTCCCTGGTTTGGTGTTTTGCAATGTGTCCCCAAAGCCAGCCTACCTACTCTGCACTGTTTTGTTTCTAGTCTCGCATGCACTTCGGATTTCACGCATAGCACTGCATTTCCAAAAGTCAAGCCAGGCACCATGACCCCTTTCCAAATCTCTCTCACCACCTCATACCTGTTGTAATTTCAAAGTGCTCTATTTTTCATTACAGCTGCATTTCTGTTGCCCTTACCTATTATATACTTTTCATGCTCACTGAGATATTCTGCACCATCACATATCCATACTCCTAGGTACTTGTATTTACTAGCTTTCTCAACTGCAATATTCTGTACCTTCAGCCTCAACTTCATCATCGTTAAAAATCATGATTGGTGGTTTTTCACTGCGTCACATGTGCCATCTGTCGACAACGCGCAAAACTAATCCGCATGCGTGTCACAACGGCCTGCTGGGTCCGATTTAAAAAAAAAGGGAGTAGGTCTTTGCTTCAATGTTTAATACATTTTTATACAGGTACATAAATGTTGATTTAAGTAAATATTTTTTATGCCACTAATTATATTGCAATTTATAAAAGGATATGTACATTAAAATTTGACATATTTTTTTAAGTACATAAATGTATACCTAGTAATTAAAGGTTTATCCATTTCTGTAAATCTATATATTTAAGTTTTTTTTTCCTTCACTAGCAAAGATCAATACACCCCCATCTTGTCGAAATGGACACGGCATGTGAACCCTAACAGGGAATGGGAAAACAATTGAAACTTCCCCTGGGAATCCCTCCAACCAGTTAACTCCTTAACTGGTCCCAGTTACCCCTACCCGTTCCCCATCTGGGCATAGTCAAGCCAGTTGACCCCTCAGCTAGTCCCAGTTGCACTCCTATTGATAACAGCCAATTCCAACTTGGGACCAGTTAGTTCCAGTTGTAACCAGTCGAGATGCCAACCGGTCCCAGTTAGACGTTTTGGCATAGGTGCCTTGTATGTAAAGCTAAAGGCGCAGCACCTTTTCTGTGAAATCTTCAAGGCAACATCTTTAACAATTTGAACGAGTGAGGTGACTGCAGCTGACAATCAGCTTTGGTGCTAATGTCAAGTACCGTGTGCAGGTCCTCGCTGGGTTCATGGGCCAGCAAGTACGGAGCATCCTGGAGAAGATGGCCAGGGCCAAGATCCAGCAGGACCACAAGGAGGCAATGCCAGGGACCCGCTCGTGGGACGGCTGGACCATCAAGGGTGCCCTATTGACCGCGCCATGTTGTCTCTTCAGAATTCTCCGACTTTTCCAGCAAAGTTTTGTTAATCTGACGACATAGTCTTTCTAAGAGGCTGGGGAAATTATAGCAAAACGTTTGTGGGCCTCACATCTGGTAACAAAAAGGCTCCAAAAACAAGGCCCCTTGAAAACTGAGCAAGTTGCTACTTGTGTAAATTGGCTCTGAAGAAACCAACAACTAGGCGCTGCACAGTCCGATGATTCTTTCCGAGTCTGAAGTGCTTCGAGGGAATCGGAATTTTGTGTTATAATGTGAATAAACTGTTCTGCATTACAAATCGAGTTTGATGTTGTTTACTTACATTTGGGGGGGTGCCAATTTGTCTTATACCTTAGTAGTTACGTCAACACACTGCATTTGATATCAATCCTGCCCCAACAATAGCTAGCGCACATGGGCCCCTTTTTTCCTTTCTGATCACTCCTCAAATAATGCCCGGTGCTTCTCTGCGTGCACCAGAGCAACGAAAGAAAGCTAACTGCGAGAGCACTGGCTTTTCTCCGCAGCGTAGAGGTTACCAAAAAAGAGCTGGTGCTTTTCACATGCACCGGTGCGATGTGGGAAAACTTACAGCGAGCGCACGAGTGCTTCTCCGCGTGTACTGGTGCAACAAGGAAAAGCTTAACACGAGAGCATTGTCGCAAAGTATTAAGCTTGATACTAGCATTGTATTGAGAACACCACAGTTTGCAGAGACGTGGTTCATTACTCCGACAAGCTGGAAGTGCGCTGTGGAGGCATTTGCTTACAGCATTTTCAAAAAAATTTGTTTTACTGTCGAAGGATGTATGGCCATATCAGTAGATTATACAAAAACTTTCCAACACAAAGAATGGAAAGAAACTACAGTGGACTGCTTCCTTCAACCAGCAATGACAGTGATGAATTTTGTTGCTGGTTGAAATAAGTAGTAGTCGTCTGGAGTTAGTATTCTATTCCTTTTATGTCCAAAAGTTTGAAACCAACACTTTATTCTTATTTTCCTGCTAATCCTTAAATGAATGCTTTTCAGAGGCTGCTGGCCCAGATAGCTAACAATTTCTTTGTTTGCATTGTTCGGCCAAGCATCACAGCTACCAGATAACTGGGTTCTAGTTGCCTGGTAGAAAAGCTGTTTTCTACCAGGCAACTGCACGTGCCGTCTCGATTTTCTTTCTTGAATGGCATGGGATTGGGCCTGGGTGCCATACTGCAGGAAACAAATGATCCGGAGCCCAGGTACCACTTCCAGAAGATGCAAGGAAATTCCTTTTATTGGGAGTGACAATAATAAGACATTAATATTTGGCTCACAAATTCATTGCCTTGGTCGACACGGGAGCCACAAATTCCTGCACATCACATGCAGAGTAATTACTACGGGCAACGAACACCTATTGCACATGGGTAATAGCAAAAAGTTACAGCCTATGCGATGTGGAATGATGTTACTGCTTCTTGCAGGCATGTCCACCGTATTTAAAGAAGGAGTCTGTAAAGATGTCCACCGATGCCTTTCTAAACAACTACAGGCAAACTAGAGCAGAACTGTTTCATGTTCCTTCATGTGTAACCAGACATTTCGTATGCTTTTATGTGTGCTCACTGTGCAATACCTCACGTCTCTCGGATTCAGTCATATGATGCCATCGCTCCACCTCGCCTTTATATATCTGCATCTGTTGCAATGTACCGTCGCCATTTGGATAATCTTACATTTATTTGTTTGTTAACTTTATAAGTGTGTTTAGGATTTTTTTTGTTTGCTGGTTTTATTGTTTGTTTTGGTGCACCACGGGGCATCCAAGATAAAGACTGATGACACCCAAAATAAAGATGATTATTATTATAAACCTGTTGCTGACCCTCCTAATTCGAGGGCCACAAATGACAGCCCTTTTTTGCCAGCTCTATCTACTATCGCTGTAGCGCTGCCAAATCATTATTTGCAAAGAAAAGTGGTGTAAGATAATTCCTTGTGTCTCTGCGGTACAAGGCAGTGTTTGCCTTTGTCTGATTGACACCTACACAGAGTCGCAAATACTTTTCCAGAAGCTCTTGTCTCCACTATAATCAACTATATAAAGAACATGACATTACCACTCTTTCTGAGCATTTGTGCTACTCACTTATCTACACACTTGAAGCATAAAAGCAGCAATATTACAATATTAGTAAGTTAGTTATAAAAACATTAAACAGTTTGGTTCCTGCATGGGACATCCTGATTCAATCGACTTATAGATTCAGTGTCCATCCGATCGATTCCAGAAAAGCAGACCGTACCGAATTTCACCTGCAGGATGCAAAGTTATCTAATAGTATATCAACAAAATGTTGGAAAAAAATTGTTCAGCCCATCTTCATCCCTTGGCCATCCCCCATTGCCCTCGTATAAAGAGTTGAGGGCTCAATGTCGCGTGCTGCAAATGAAATGATTGGCAGTGGTCATGCACTGACACACATATCGACAGGGTGGAGGATAAAAATCAAGTTGATTTAAATCGAAATCATGATTTAGACCACAACTTTAATCATACAGGTAAATTACTTTTAAAATGTAATTTAATTACAATTACTTTGCTCCAAAAGTAGTTTAACTACAGTTACAATTAGTACTACCTGAGAAATAATTCATTGCAATTACAAATTACTTTGCTGATGACATCATCAGTGATGATGACAATGCTAATGTCGGTGACGTCATCAGTGACGTCACTGATGTCATCATCAGTGTTGATGATGCAAGGATTTCCGGTTGGCACCGGAAATCCTTGCAAAAGTAGTTGTAATTGTGCCTCAAAGTTTGTAATTACTGATGCTAAAAAGCAAATAAAGTACAATTGCAGCTCCCTTTAGCAGGAAGTAATGAATTACAAATTACCAGAAAAGTAATTAAATTACAGTAATTTAATTACTGTAATTAAATGACTACCCAAAGTATGATTTGAATACCGATGTTTCAAATCAAACATTTTGATATATTAAAAAAAAAACATTAATTTTACCACTGGAACCTCAACTATTTTATTGTTTTCAGGTGTATTTATATTTTCATTCCATGTAAAATAATTATCAAGTAATATTGATATGGGGATAACGAGCAAATATAAGACTTCTTCGAGGCACAAGTAAATTGTAGGATTGAACGCTCTCTCTACTTTTCAGCTCGTTCTTCAGGTATAGCAAGACAAGGGAAAGGGTAGAGTCAACAAAAGAACTGCGTGCGTGAACAAGCATACAAACTCAAATACCAGCAGAGAGAGGTATAGAATCAGGCAGACAGACTAAAGTATATGTCTGTGGTTGATCTTGCATATTCTAGTGTATTTATTATTTTCAGAGAAATTATATTTCTCTCAAAAAATTATTTTGAGAAAACAGTTTAAATGTAATCAATGAGTTTTTCTTTTTTTAATTTCGCCAGTGAGAAATCTGTAATTTGGTTAGTTGTAAAGTCATGTTCAGTCAATCAATGTGGCCTATTGCCATAAGTGCTCTTCGGAGGATTAGATTCGCGCATGGATTTCTTGCAATAAATGTAGATAATGAAGAAGTATTTCTAGGTCGCTTTTCCGCAGTACACAACTTCGTAAGGTGAAGCGCACTTGCGGGTTTTTTGCTTTCCTGCAAAACTCGGTGTTTCAGGGAGAAGCACGCTTATGGAACGTTAGGTCTACTGCTTTCCCATCTTACTGCAACTGACAAGTACATTTGCTGGTTCTGCGCTTTCCCACAAGGAAAATACGTGCAAGGGGAAGCGCACTTGCGAGTTACTTGGTCCGCCGCTTTCCCGCCGTACAGCAAATAGAAGGGGGAAACCCTCCTTCCAGGGTACAAGCTCTTTTCTGAGTTTCAAACTGTTCCACAAGGCACATTTTCGTAGGAAGAACCGCTTTTGCGGGTCGCGCTATTCTGGATAGCGTGCGTTTTTAATTAGAAGCACGCTTGTGGGCTTTTTACTGCACAGATGTCATAGAAAAATGTCCTTCCACTGGCAAGCAGACTTCCAAGTTAATTGTATTTGTTCCTTGAAACCTCTACTTCAGCAATGTTGCTATTGTGATGAAGCACATGTTTCCTCCCAATTATAAGGTTAGTACAAATAAATGGTGTACAAAACACGTCTTAGCTTCAGCCAAAACAGATCTGTACCCAGCATACAATGTGTATGTAAAAGAAAACACATGGTGGTATAGATTTGAATGATTAAATCAATATAAAACAGTAATAATAATAAAACTTTGTGGTGGAGGAACACTTCAAATGTTAAAATGTAAAGTTGCATAAGTAACGATGTACTAGAATAATGCTTTCTTTTTATTTCTTGCCTGTTTAATAGTTCCTACACTTGGAGAGTTCATTTAATAATTAATAATCGCCATAATTCAGTACCATCTAACCTCTGAAACAATAATTACATTCAGGAAGTCATCTCCAGCTATCCCATACTCACCAGTTCAATCGATCATTCCCTTGCACAGACACATAAGCTACCCTAGCCTCGCATAGGACTCCAGCTCGACTGACTCAGGCTTTGCCCTTTCATACATAATTTTTTCTGAATAATCATACAAAATTTAAGGTTTCATCAGCAAATTTTAATGAGAAGGAGATGGTGGTCTTTGTGTGAAATATGATTAATAAATGAAAGATTGTGGAGGGAAGGTAAAAAGAAAGGATCAACCAATCTATGGGGGGAAGAAGGTAAAAGAGATGGAAGAATAAGCAGAGAAGGTACTTGGCCCCACAGCTTCATGAATTCTTTCAGAGGGGTCAAACGATGGTGTTCCCTTCAGTCAAAATCTCAGACATAATCTCCTACACCCGCTGTAAATGGTTTGGCTCTTTGCCTATCATCTGTGTATTGCTTGCTGTGCTTCTGGTAATCAGCAATGCATTGGCGGAGTTGCTGCATCTCGATGTGAACGGGCTCGTCAAAACTTGGGAAGCCCACGATGTCCATACGGGTACGCATTTTACGTCCGTGGATGAGCTCAGCGGGGGAGAGCTTCGTCGCTGCATGTGGTGTACTTCGGTAGACACCCGGAAACTCAAGGCCTGTACGAACGTTGGCTTGTTCCTGCAGGATAGTTTGGACGTACTGCTTAAGCACTCGGTTGAAGCGCTCAACCTGACCATTGGCTTGTGGATGGTATGTCGGAGACCGATGGTGGTAAATCCCTCTGGACTTCAGGAACTCCTGGAATATGCGGAATTCAAACTATGGGCCATGATCAGAAACAATCACCTTCGGATACCATTCTCGGTTGAAGATTCTAATGAGGAATTCACATACAGCTTCAGCAGTAACTTGGTTACAAAGAGCTACCTCTGGCCGCTTACTGAAGTAGTCGACTAGGGCGACTGCAAATCTGAATTGCGATGGAAGTTTGTAAAAAGGTCCGACAATGTCTATTCCTATTTGTTTCCATGCACCCGATAGGAATGGAACTGGTTGTAGGGGTGCCGCTGCCGTCACAGCTGTCTTGTCGTTCGTCTGACAGGTGTTGCAGTCTCTAATGTAGGTGTCGACTTCGATGTCGACTCTGGGCCAACAGAAGTGCTGGTGTAGACGCTGCTTCGTCTGCACAATTCCAGGGCGTGACGCATGAGCTAGATCAATGAGTCTATGCCGTAGCCAAATAGGTGGAACCAACACTTCACCACGTAGTAGTAAGTCATCCACGGAGGAAAGCTCTTCTCGCAACTTGTAGTATGTAGATAGTACTTTATCACATTGTTCCTCGTGACCCCATTCAGTGCAGATACACTGGATTACTCGAGGCAAATTAGGGTCTTGCCTGGTTTCTTTCTTGATTTCTTCTTGATCGATTGTGCATAGATTGCGTACCGGCAAGTGAATTCTTCCTTGTCGTCACTAAACTTGCTGCAATCCGAAGGATTCGGAGTAGGCAGGCGTGACAGTGCGTCTGCTACGACACTCTTGTTTCCTTTCTGGTAATGTACCTCGTAGTCGTACCTGAGGAGTCTCATAGCCCACCTGGTTATCCTCATTGGTTGTCGACCGGATCCTCGTGTAGAAAGCAAAGTAACGAGAGCCTGATGATCTGTCTTGAGCGTGAAATGGCGCCCGAAGAGAAAAAAGCGCCATTTCTCGCAGGCCCAAAGGCACGCCAATGCCTCTTTCTCCCCTGCAGAGTAGTTGCGTTCGACGCTTGAAAGTTTTCACGATGCGAACGACACCGTTCGAATTCCTTCCAGATGTACTTGCTGCAGAACCACGCTTCATCCGTAATTAGATGCATCCGTTGTGACGACGGTGGGCAGCACCACGTCAAAGTCAGTGGATTGCTGTTTCGTATCAGATCCTTCACAGCAGTGAATGCCTCTTTTTGTGCCTTTTTCCATTAAAAGGGAACATCCTTCCGCAGGAGCACGTCCAGAGGCTCCACGATGGTCGCAAAGTTTGGTACAAACTTGACGTAATATGCGAGCAGGCCGAGTAATGATCGTAGTGATGTTATGTTTGTGGGGGGTGAAGCCTGCATGATAGCCTCAATATTATCTTCGCATTGCTTGATTCCCTGCGGTGTCAGCTCGTGTCCTAGGAATTGAAGCTGCTGGACTGCAAAAAAAAACATTTGTGCTAGTTTAGTTTCAAGCCTGCATCTTGAAGGCGTGAAAGAACTTGCCTCAGGCGGGCATCATGCTCTTCTCTTGTGCGCCCGAAAATAAGTGCATCATCCAGGTAGACGATGGTACCTGGAGTACCTCAGAGTATGTAGTCCATCATTTTTGAAAGGCAGGGGCGGCGGATGCCAGCCCGAAACATACTCTGGTGAACCTGAAGAGACATTCA